CGACCTATTATGTGACTCTGGCGGTCCGATTGCCAATCTGTATCATCTTGCTGACCTGACCGAGCTTCCGAGCGATTTGCGTGGGCCGATTGTTCAACGTTACCGTGAAGTTGACCCGATTGGCCTTCCACTAAACCTTTCTCAACCGATTGACTCGCCGTGTTGATCCTTTTGGGTAGAACAACCACTTTGGCACCTTTGTCATTCTGATCATTCTGCTGATCTTCGTCATCTTCATCAAGATCATGATCTTCATGATCTTCATCAAGATCATGATCTTCATCATCTTCATCATCTTCATCATCTTCATCATCTTCATCATCTTCATCGTCTTCATCGTCCTCGTCATCCTCATCGTCTTCGTCATCTTTATCGTGTTTGTCGTCGTAATGTTTGTCATCTTCGTCATTGTGTTCATCGTCATCATCTTGGTCACGTTCCCGATCTTTGTGGTGCTGATGAGACCGTTGGTCTTCATGATCTTCCTGATCTTCATGGTCTTCGTGATCATCAGCATCTTCGCCATCTTCGTGATCTTCTTCCTCTTCGTCCTCTTCGTTGTTCTCCTCCTCTTCGTCCTCTTCGATGTTTTCGTCCTGTTCCTCTTTGTCATCTTCGTCACCTTCGTGATTGTTGTCATCTTTGTCCTTTTCATCGTCTTCCTCCTCTTCCTCCTCTTCCTCCTCTTCCTCCTCTTCCTCCTCTTCCTCCTCTTCCTCCTCTTCCTCCTCTTCCTCCTCTTCCTCCTCTTCCTCCTCTTCCTCCTCTTCCTCCTCTTCTTCTCCTTCCTCCTCTTCCTCCTCCTCTTCCACCTCCTCTTCATCCTCATTGTCCTGCACAACCCTGACGTCCCTCTCGTCCTGATCACTGTGGACCCCCGGCTCGGGTTTGATGTTGACTTCAGCCATTCCCCCCTTCAACTTGCGGAACTTGATGTGCATATTCACCGTTGTCTGCTTTGGTGATACAGCAGATCTGGTTGAGTGACTGGTGAGAGATGTGTGTTGAGCTACGCGGATGGGGGAATCGGAAGCCTGGACTGGCTGGACCTTCGATCGTTTCTTGGTACCTTGAACAACAGCACTTGCTCGTTTCTTTGAAACACGTTTGGCAAACTCAAATAGTTGGACTCCCAATGAGTCCTTGTTTGCGAGAGGGGGGGCCGATTGTGTGACAGGCTTGTCAACAACGGTCTGGCATGCTCCGTTACAAGAGTAGGTGACCCGCCAGATCACCCGATCGGCTGAATGGCGAACCACGTCTTTGGGGACACTGACGGTGCATCGACGAGCACGAATGTCGTTGGGATATAGACCGGTACCGTCAAGCCACTCGATAGAGGCCTCCTTGTATAACGAATGCCTCTCAATATTGTAATCGTGAGGCTACGACATGAACATCCAAGCCAAGACTACAAATAATGAGAAAGACGTACCTGAGATTCAAAAAAGCGCATGAGATCCTTGGCCATGACTTCCGTGCGAGTATATCCTTCTCCCGAGCTGAGATCCACCTTCATGGAACGCAGGAACTCCTTTGTGATTCGGACACCAGGTGTCACACAGGGTGTGGGCAAAGCCTGAGGATGATATGGCAACTCATCCTCATCCTCATCGCTGGAAAAGTCTCCCAGGTCTCCCACAATCCGATGATCAGGTCGGTCATGAAAGTGATCAACCCACTTCTCATAATGAGGATCTGAGGAAGGTAGGGACGACGAAGGCAAAGATGAAGACGGTAAAGATGACGAAGGCATAGATGACGACGGTAATGATGACGATGGTAAAGAGGACGGCGGCAAGGACGATGGCAGTTTGCCAGTGTCTGGGTCCAATCGAGCTCGCTTGACAGACGGGAGGTTGGTGGAATCCATCAAGGATCCATGAGGTCGTTTTGGGACTTTGGAAGGTGTGATGGGATCGGAGTTAGTGTTGGAACGTATACGGTTGGACCTTCGATTTGGTTGGATATGCCGACTGGCCTCAGCAGAGGCGTCCAGAGTCCCATTTTGGGGAGTTGATTGAGATTCACCTTGGGACAATGACGAGTTTTCCTGGAAGGTGACTGATCGTGACGGGTTCTTGACTGACACACGGGGAGGTCTTCCCCTCCTGCTTGGAGTGGTGAGACGGTTGACAAGACCAGCTGGAACGACTCCGATCGGCGGAGTACGAGGCTGGTGGTCAGACATTGTGAGACAAAGATTCTGATGATGGTAGAGAGTGAAAAGGTGAATACGTACATTACTCTGGGGTTACTACTACTGATGGTCCGTGTGATTAAGTTCATAGATAGGACAATGACAATGATGTTAAATTATCAAACGGATCAAAACCGGGTAAGGGGTCACCGAGGTACCAATTGTCAGTCTCGCTATGTCAGGCTGGGTCCCGATTACCGCATTAACTCCGAGATAGCTTCAATCGGATCCGTGGTGCTGCTCACGATTGAACGATTCCAGCATTCGATCAATGTGAAAATTGGGATCCTATATTTTAACATTGTCATAAGACCAATAAGAGTGTCAAATTACCAATCGGGACGCTTTCATGAGTTAAGAGGGGATTCCGGACGGTTATGAAGGGAAACCGGACAACCAAGTCGGAAACCAGCCAGCTAAACCGGAATCCGGGTAACAAAGGGGGTTACCGGACACCCAGTATGGGAAAAATCCGACCGCAAAAATTAGCTCGGGTAAAAAGCCAGCCAACACGGGAAAAAATAGACACGCCGTGGTCTTGTGATTCGAGTTGGCTGGTCTTCGTTTGGAGTGAACGGGAAAGAGGCCGTTTAGCCGCCCCACAGACCCATAAACATCTGACATGGGAACCCAGGTGTGGTGTTGACTTGTGGGGGAACAGTACATACCGGATTTGATGATGCGCCTAGGTCTCGGATCGTCGGATTTCGGGGTCCCGGTGATCGGTGACTGACTTATCAATGCAAAAAGAAGAAAGGCTGAGTCATAACTTGCCAAGACATGTGCATTTAAATTACGTTCATAAGATACCTAATGACAAAGACGATGTAGTAGTTGAAGAAAGCTTCCACCATGTCACTTGCCTGTTGTATACTAGAGACGTGTGCTAAGATGTGGATCCAAAACGCTGCGCGCGCTTTGGTAGGCGGTAACGTGGACCTGGCGATGATGCGGGACACTGACTATTGGGAAATTAGCTGAGGGGAAAGTGTGGGAAAACCACTTTTTTGGGCTTGTCATAATATCCGATCCCGCAGAGCCGCCGGGCTCATGTGCTCGTGGCATAAAATCACCCAAATCACCACTCGGCAAACTCGGATGACTAGTACGGAGATAATTCCGTTCAGCTCTGACGCGTTACCCTTAGCTCTCGCCCTGGATTCCCCTGATCCTCTCGGGCACGACCCAAGCTTTACTTACGACACTTGTTCCGACCTCTTTTCCACTTTTTCCCACCTACGCAAGCTACGTAGCTACAAAACTACGGCCGCACCTTGCCGTTCTGTCATACGAGTGTACGGTCACTTTTGTCATCTCCGGGTTCAAGGGTAAAAAAAAAGAAGCCAGAGTCTCCGGACGAAAAAAACGCCGGCTTGTTATTACATTGTGGGGCGGGGTATATACCCGGGACGAGTCAAGAACTCTTTCATCCTGACAAGAACCCTCAACAAATCCGAATCCAACCGAACGAAAAGTGACTAAGCAGAGAGAGTGTGGTCCCAACATCGGCCCCTCGTCTCCGTTCAAACAGCCCCACATATCCAACAACAACTCTTTGTCAAATCGACTATCATCATTCGACAAATCGACAAACTGACCATCGTCAGTCGAATCAACCACTGTTTCGTTTGCATTGTTAGAGGAGAAGTAAGAGAATATCGATGGAGAGAATAGAGACATAGAAGAATTTGTATAAGGTGAGCCCAGTTTTCATCTTTTTTCCAACCTCGATCATGATCGTCCATCAGACCCGTCTACGGCCCGATAATGATCGATGTGTGGTGCGCTCGTGTCGGTGTGGCTTTTGTCTTGAGGGTTCTTTGGTTCGAGATTGTGATTCTGATTCACGTCTTATTTTCCCTCTCCATCGTTTTTGATGATTGCGACCGGCGTTGTCGCAAGGAGGTGTGAAACCGACGATCTTTTCTTCATCTTCACTCGAGATGTTATGATCTTATGGTTCCCCACAAAACGTCGCTTCCGGTATCCGGGTCAATAGTATTTAAATGGAAGCGCCCGTCGACGTGTATCGAGGCTTTTGGCTTTTGGTCTTTTGCCATACGTGGACATCCTTTGGTACTACGGTCTTCAAAGGCCGAGGGACCGAAGTGTTAGAAGAGGAGGTCATTGCGTTTATTCGGCTCGCCGCACGCGCATCCCCACCACGCCTTCTCTCGCTTTATCGCCTTCCTCGTTGTCCCTCCCCCATCATCATTCAAGAAGTACATCATCATCATCATCATCATCATCATCCCCATCATTCCCACGCCATTAACTCGGTCTCACATCTTTTTCTCTTTTTTGCCTCCCCTTCCCCCAACCCATCACACGTCCGATCATCACGCTTGCCTTGTTGTCTTGTGTTTTCTGCCTAGTTTGACTCCCCTTTCCAACCCATTTCGGAACCCCTTTCGACTCGTTTTTCCCCATCCCTTGGACATTGCCTTAGCTACGCCTCGTATCATCCTTGTTGTCAAGTGGCTCGGATCGTCTTCCTTTTCCCACCTTTTCTCCCCCAAACCTGATCCGCAATCGGTCTTACTTTGCCACCTTTACCCTTCTCATCTCCTCCCCCGTTCGACATCCAACGTGCCGTGTCAAGGCGTGATTACCCAACGGAAAAATAATACACCAAGAAAACACGAGGTTCCCTCCCGTCTCCCTCTTTTACCATCCTTCCCCCCGATCTGACCGAGACCACGGTTGGAGCCGAGAGGTTTGGGCGTTTGTCCGCTCATCGCGCCGCACAGCGCAAACCTTGAATTCTTCGTTCAAGCTTTTAACCTATCCTCAAACCCCACTTCGTTCCGATCTTCTCTCGTCTTTCTCAATGATGATTCATTCTCAGTGACCTTGTTCTCTTGTGTAAACGAATAAAGTACCCTTGTACTCTTTCGGTTCTTAACATTCGGCTATACCGATCCTCCCGGTGAGGGGTGCTTCTGGTGTTGGTCGCCACCTTGGTTATCGTCGTCCCCGGCATCCTTGTTACCCAAGTCTTTCAAATCATGATTCGTGGTCCCGTTGTCGGTTCATATATTACATTACATCAGAATCGCCGCTGACTTTATCGCAGATCCCTACCCTTCGTAAACCATCCATCCCTACTTCAGTTTCTACTTCAGTTCAAGTTCCGATCGGTGTCGTTTACCCTATCAAGCAACTACCCACTCGCTCCACCATGTCTTCCATTCCTCAACAAAGGGCAGGTTCTGCATCTCCCTCCACCTCGTCTTCTCGTAAAGCAGCCAAGTCAACCGCCACTGCTTCAGCACCTTCATCGAGAACGTCGGGTCGATCAGATCCTTACTATGGTCATGAAGAGACGGCAGTAATGTGCGCGCGATTCGTGAGTCATCATCTTCCTTCCACCTTCCATAGGTTCCATGCTGATTACTTTCAGATCGCGTCCTTGTTCCAATGTCCAAACATACCTGCGCAAACAGCACCTGGTGCTCCTACACCCACCCTCGCACACTTTGTCGCGTACGCTCTTCATCGTACGCGTCTTCCATCAGTCGTCACCTTTGCCGCCCTACTCTTGCTTCAACGATTGAAGACTCGTTTCCCCGCTGCACGCGGTTCGTCCGGTCATCGCTTATTCATCTCGGCATTCATGATCTCTTCCAAGGTCATATGCGACGACACTTACTCTAACCAAAGTTGGGGGATCGTCGCTCAAAAGATGTTCTCATTAAAGGAGATCAACCAGATGGAACGTGAAATGTGTGGATACTTGGAATGGAACCTCAACGTAGCAGGTGAAGAAGTGACCGATTTCGAACGTCGTCTAAGAGTAGACTTCGGACCGAAAGCCATCGTATCACGTTCCAGCCCTACGACTGTCGAAGCTCATCACCTACCGACTCCACCTACTCATTCTTACCCTACACCCGAAACAACACCCGATGCTCCTCAATCTCGACCCATCCGTCCAGTACCGTCTCCATACAAGTCCAAACCTGTCACATACGCACCACCATCTCCACCGTCTTCTCCTCATTCTTCTCACTATCATCCTCAATCACCACCACAGTACTCTTCCAGCTCGTCATTACAATCTTCCCTACAATCCTCACCTGCTAGCGACGATTGCAAAACTCCTTCGCCAGTATCTGTCGTACCACATCGAAGCAGTAAAGACGTGGCATACGAACGAACACGTTTCACCGGGTATCCCATCAACGTGGGTGGATGGTAGTCTATGTGATGGCGTTTCACCAACATGCGTGGGAAACGTCAACATGTCTGTTCGGGGGATGGATTCATCGTTTGCACGCTCGCTACACATATACCCTCGGAAGGTTTAGGATACCCATTTCTTTGTATTTACCATTCACCTTTATTTTTTGCACATAACACCAAACATTCATCATCTATTGTCATCATCTCGGATTGTGGAGAGTCTTAATAAGAGGGAGAAAAGGAAGGATCAATCGGTCGTGTATAGACATGTCATGCAGCTGTTACACTTTTACCTCTTTAATCTCTATACACATGTTGAGATTCTTACAACCCCATACTCAAGGTTCTTTCCCCAATCGCCGATGCCAATTGGCGATGCTATGCGACGATCTGTTTCACACAACACGTGTGACGAGCACCCCTTCATTGTCGTTCAACAAATTCAACGCGTCGTAGTCACTCTTCGCTTAAAACGGCAAATCATACTTTTAGCGCAGGATCGATCTTCCGAAACTAAGCTTAAGACCCAATCTATCCGATGACGGAAGTACATATGTACATCACATTCATTTGGGTATGGTGACGACATACAGTAGCCACCAGGCGTACACACTTTATGCAATCGTCAGTAAGGGAACCTCAGATTAAGTAGGTTGTGAGTTGTTGAATCCATCCCCGATCCCCGATCTACTCGATGTCATAGTGCGAATAGTGCTAACTCGCGCCGAGGTCCTTCTGGGGTCTCGGACGAGAACGTCGAGAACGATATATGTCGATATATGACATGAGAATCGTATGAGATTTTGAGAATGTGGAGTTGTGGAGGAAGAGTCGTGTTTATACACTAGGAGGAAAGGGGTTCATACTGGGTTTTTGAGTGTTCAAGGTGGAGTCGCCCCAAAGGCCAAAGGATCATTTAGTCGACAAGCTCAAAGTACTCGTATACTTGAAGATGAAGCTAGATTGTGTTGTGGAGCGTGATTCTGCGGATTGTGTAGTGGAAATTTACATGACGAGTAGCTGCAATGAGGAACATGTTAGACCTGTACACATCAAAATGAGGCGTCAGCCCCGTCAGGTTGAGACATCCCATACAGAATGATAACGTTGATCGCAACGTTGGAAAGTGGTGTTTGATAGTAAGAAGGCTCTCAGAAGGTGCTTTATCGTGTAAAAAAGGTGTTGCAGGTGTGTCGTAAGAAAGTTAGGAGATGGTTTGGTTCCGACATGGAAGGAAGAATAGGTGAAGAGATTGGAACAAATACATATAACTACCACCCCACAGCGACTTCTTGTCGAGGTGTTGATTCCACATGTCTTGGTTGATCCGGACGACGGTATTCTACTTTGTCGACTTTCACCTGCGAGTCAGTCCTCGATCTACATCGGCCATGGACCACACTTTCTCGTATTGTTGCTTTATGGGCGGTGTGGGAAGAATATCTGATCGCGTCCTTTGGTGCTAGTGTGAAGAGGGGTAGAGGTCGTTCCCTAAAATTGTAGGTAACGGGTGAGTGATGAACGATTTCGAAGATGAGTATGGCATGTGAATGTGTAGGAGAGAACGAGATTTTCATGACTGGGAGAGGGGTAAAGAGGAAACGCACTTCTTGATCCAGCAAGAGGTAAACATAAGTCACGACAACGGGACCTTGAACATCCATCAAAGCGAAAGAAGGTGTCACGTCACTGTTCCATTAGCAAATGTTCCTCAATATCGCCTATACCACAGTATGAGTTGATTAAAACAAGACACCCACCCATTCCATAACCCACTCCAGGCACCTGTTGCCGAACCTGGATTGATGAAGAAACGTTGTTCAAATTCGAAAGCTTCAAACCTGATGCATCAGTCCTAAATCCAACATGTATTTCCGATGATCCAACGGTATCTCAAAGTATGAGGTACGAAGACACTAGGCGATATAGGTCGATGATGGAAAGACAGGAGAAAAGGGGGATACAGGCAGGGAGGGAAGAAAATTTTACCTATGTGTACCCCCACTAACCAAAACATCAACATCCATCTGTCTAGCCAAAGCCGCCAACATCTCAGAATCACCAGCTGGAACAATTTGTTGACCATGTACCACACCTATCCGTATACTTTGATGTTGTATTGTTAAACTTAAAGGGAAATGTGTGTTCTATTCTTTAGTCCAACTATCCTCTTTTTCATAGTCCAACCCGACTGTTCATTTCCCTTTTCAATCATCACCGTGAGAGGATACTCTGAAGAGAGATTGAATAGTTGTTGGACTAATTAGTGTTTAAGAGGAAAGAATGGTGTATAGACCCACCTCGTCAAACTCGCCTCGCACCACATGAACCTCCGGTGCTATGGTCCGAAGATAATCGTACGTCTCTTTATCGCATACGTTCCCAGTGCATATTATCTGTCCTATTTTACCGGGCACCTACATGTCAGTAGCGTCCTGGACGATGAAAGAGAGACCCACTAAGAGCTTTTTGAATTTTGCTGGGAGGTCATATGTGAGGTTAGGAATGTGAAGATCTCCGATGACGAGGACTAGTACCATTGTGCTGGGTGGTGTCTTTGACGTCGTTCTACTTCAGGTGACCGAGCCGACGAGTCTGAAGAGCGACTTGTCCAGGTTGTGCAGCTATCAGCTGAGAGTGCCTTGTCTGAGCGGATGGCCTGATACGAGTGATATAGAAAGGTTGTCAAGTGATGCAAGTGAGATAAGTAGGGCAACGGCGATGCACTTGAAATGGTAAGTTAAGAGAGCTCAGGCACGAGCCGGAGCCAAAAAGCACGGTCCTTCTTGGTCCTCTCCTGCCAAATAACCTGTCCACCTTACATAACTATACTCGTCTCTACGTATCTCTCTCGTACCCATTTCGATCAAATGTTGTCAATATCAACATTCATTCCTGGATAAGAACAATAACAAGAACATCGACATGGCTTCCACTCCCTCATCTTTACCACCCGTCGTACCTGTCGAGCTGAGCGACATGAGCGCAAACCCAAGCGGTGTCATGTTACCTCCCAAGCAGGCAACCGTGACCGTTGGCAGGCGGATGAGTCTGAGTGAGGAAGCTTCTCGTAGGGATAGTCTAGGGGATACTAGAGCGTTTGTGAGTCTCCTCCCTCTTCTGCACGGCTTCTGGGGATACCGGTCAGAGACTTGATGGAGTTACTACTGGGTTAAGGGAGGTTGCTGATAGGATAGTATGGTTTACACTCCCCTCCCGACGCACAGAGCATCTCTGGTTCTCTCTCTCGTGCATTATCCAATCATCGTACTATCTTAGGTCGTCAACGCTCCAACTCTCGAGCTTCCGCCTCTACCTCTCGACCAGGTTCACCACCTCTACCAATCTCCCCTTCACGCTCGACCCTCCCTCTACCTATGCCAAAGGGTTTTCTCAGTCCAAAGAAACCAAAGGCTGCACTCAGACATGAAGCCCGAGAAGCACGTGAAGCTCAACGTATGAGCGAACTCGGATCTGAAAGAGCTTTTTCCCCTATCTCCGAACCACCACCATTACCTTCCGCTAGTACACAAGCACATGAGACACAATCAGAGGAGACTCATCGTCAACCTAATTCTCGGTCTTTGGGAGGTACGAGACATGCACCTAGTGTGACTGAACAATCAACAGCTCCTACCACTCATCCATTACGAGATTTGGAAGAATCATCAGATGACTTGATGGAACACCCAATCGATCTTCCAGATAAATCATCCCCGAAGAAACCTAGTAAACCCCATTCACCCCCAAGACAAGTTCGTCAAAGACATGCGAGAAGATATAGGAGATACACTACTTTCGAGAATCCTTTAACGACATTCTTCTGTGCTGGACATCTGATGACCGGAGATGATTCACCTGTGAGCGTGCTAATGGTGGTGGTGTTACTGCTAGGAATCACTGGAGTGTGGTTGGGGACCACAGGTGTGTGGTTATGGCAACATGGAACGGAATATGGCTTGGCAAAAGGTGGAGGGATTGGGATCGTTGTCGTTTTCATGTGAGTCTCTCCCAGCCGAATGCCCATACTATGCTGAGATGAAGCTATCTTTTTGGAATTACTTCAAGTTCGATGGTAGCCGCAGCTCTACGGGATCCAGGTTAGCTGAAGATTTAAATCATCGCAATGAGCTAACCTACAGGAATCATTCCCAGAGATCTTGATCCTGACCCCCCAATGTCATTCACCAGTAGCTGGGGAGAACCTCTAGCAAGGGAATTCGTCGTCAAGGATGGGCAGTGAGTCGTAATCTCTGGACTCAGTGTGTGTCTCACTAACATGCAGAGTGACAAGCAGATATTGCGAGACGTGTAAAAGTTATCGTCCTCCAAGAAGTAGTCACTGTCGTCTTGTAAGTTTTTCCCCAACTCATCTCCTCACAACTCCTATCTTTATCATGAAAAACATGTGAAATGAAGTCTTCTGGCACGATGATAGCTGATCTACAGTGCGGTAATTGTGTCGATGGCATAGGTCAGCTTCGTGTTGCAAATTCATGACATCAGCTGACATACAGACCACCATTGTTCATACATTCACACTTGCGTCGGTAAACGTAACTACCTTTCCTTTTTCTCCCTTCTAATCTTCTCTGTGAGTGCTTATCCCTATTTGATACATTCTAAAATCTTGTATCTAACTCTAAGGCAATCTCCGCCATCTATGTCGTTGTTTTTTCAGCTATTCATTTTGCACTTTTGTGTCATCATGATCGTATCAGCTTTGGTAGAGCTTTGAAAGAAAGTCCCGGAGCGGCAGTGAGCTTCTTACTCGGTCTAGCGGTGTTACCTGGTGTACTCTTTCTAGTAGGGTATCATCTTCGTGTAAGTGTCTTCTCACCCACCTTGACTGTTCCAAACATCTCAACCACATTTCTGGTGTCTCAATCTCCACACCAAGTTTCATCCCATCTACATTCCTCATATCTCAACATTGACACAAATTCTTTCATGTTACAGATCGAGCATTGTAGTACCTAAAAATAAGAAAAGAGCGAGATTCTTCATTGTAATAACTTTCGAAACCCGTATTAACGTACAGTTGATCATACACGGAATCACCACAGTCGAACAACTTCGAGCCAACACTTCTAAATCATTATTTTCTCTTCGGAACAGACCTGAAAACCCATTTGCCGCCAAATCAATCTGGCAAAACGTTCTCAATGTTACTTTGGCCAGACCTCAATTCCCCAGTTGGATAGATGCCGCCTCGTGGGAAGTGGAAGATACTCGGTTAGTCAATCCCGCTTTGGTAAATCCTAGATGGGGTACGGAAGATGTATGAATTGCACATACTCTTCTCCGTTCTGCCCATTTTCATGATCCCTCATATCATCGGTCCGTACTCGTTTACATAATCAACAGTTGGATAGGAAAGTCCATACGGTTCTTCAAGCATCATGTTTAGGGTTCTAGTAAAAGGTTGTATTTATGTTGGCGATCTATACCCCTTGCATTCATACCTCATGTTATATACAAGTCTTTCATTTTGCATGCATAATTGACTTCTTTTATCTTTTCGACCCTCGACTGAAAGTAAAGCCAAAACGATTGTATCCTCGTTTATCTTTTCAAGTTCTGTGATTCCTTTTGTCTGGTCTCTTCAAGTGATTGATTAATCACTACACACACCGTGAGACGGATGTTTCTCAGATAGATCGTACTGTATGAGAGAACTTGATATCAAAAGTCAAGATGATAAATGGTCAGCCATGAGACGAATCATCAAAGTCAATTCGTCCGCTTCTGTTTGTGCTTCTAAAGGCGATCGATCGAGCGTTATAGCTTCTGTCAAAGAGGGGAACTAAATTGTCAGTTCAAACTACTCTATTCAATCTTATCACCATAATATTTCTTTCAACCAACATGACTTCAACACCCCCCAACTTCTATCAATTTGAACGAAGCATAACCACTCAAAAAAGGACTGTGGGACCAATTTTCGATCATGTTGAGGGTAGAGAGTGGTACAGGGGTCTGTATAAGGTGAGATGACCCTTAAACTTCTAGAATGGGATTATTCACATAAGATCTGTGAATGATCATCGTAAAATTCAGTGACATGGGACAAACGGATAGATCGGAAGTAGTATTGTAAATATGAAAGTAAGAATACTCACAGTCGTTGCTCCGTAACCTTTCCAAAGACCCGGTGCTACTATTTTATGTTTATACCATTGCCTACCTTTTAATCCTTTAGAACTGAGGAAACCCGATTCGAAATATTGTAATTTTACATTGATCTTACGTATTTCTTTCAAAAGTTGTTTGATCTTTTTGATTTTACCTGGTGAAGGAAGTGGTAAACCCCTTCTTTCTTCCAACTTCTTTCTATCGATGAATTGTGTTTGTAATGATTGCTTAATGCCGTCGTCGTTCATTATTTGGTGTTCATGTTGCTGATCATTTCGTATTGTTATCAATTTTGATCCCTCAACCATCCCATTCCTCCCATTAGGCCGTTTGGGGTATTTGACAAAAGATTGAATGGTAGATGTTACCATTTGTTTCATCCTTTCCCATCCCCACCACTTATCATGTCCCAACAACCCTTTTAATTCCTTTATTACCCTTTCTTTTTCTCTATCCAATTCCTTCGAAACATTCTCCAGTTCATTGATAGATTTTCTCAATTCCCCCAATTCGATCTTCTCCGAGAAATTCGCTTTTCGAATTTCCAACTCTACAGTACGTAAATACCATCTCAAATCTCTAGCATATTGCGTTGTGTTGAATGGTAATAACAATCCATCAGCTAGACGAAGTACCAATAAACCCATTACTTTCGCCACATCAACATGTTTATGAAAACCTGGATCACCATATTTTTCCATCCATGTAAAAGTATCGTATGTCGAATGATAATGATATACAGGATCTTTAGGACCTGAAGAGAACCCTAGACTTGTACTTGCTATTCCGTATCGTTGTAAGAAAGGTGTATAATCCGATCCTGAACCTAATGGAGAAACTCCTGTCCAATCAGAATCATTCGGTGTGATAAATCCATCAAACTCCAATGTAGAATCATACGAGTCGTCCGGATTGAGAGAAGGGACATTCGATGTTTGGGAGAGATATTCCGACCAATCTCCTCCGTCTTTTCTTGTGTGCCATATGGTACGAGAAGAATTTGAAGATGATAATATTTCTTGACTTGTAATCTTGATTAACCATGCTAAAGAAGGTGAACCTTGAACACGATATTTACTTCCAGAAACGGAAGAATCTAAATTCAAATAAGCGATAACATTCTTTCCTAACCAATCTCCAAAATCTTCACACCATTCTGTACTTCCTATCAAACCATATTCCTCTGCATCCCAACTGACAAACATTATAGTTCTTAATGGTTTCCAACCAATCTTTATCAATTCACCTAGACCACGTATGAGTTCATGTTGACTTGCGGTACCGGAATTAGGATCGGAAGCTCCCATTACCCAAGCATCACGATGATTACCCATGATAATCACTTCATCCGTTATGTGACCTGGAATAGTAGCCATGACGTTCCATATAGGCATAACTCGAGTGTTGACTTGATTGACCATGTGAAGTGAGATTTGGGAGGGTCCAGTGAAGTAAGATACGTTGTAATGAGTCAAACCTCCTGACCATTCAGGTCCTAGTGTTTCGACGGCAAGACCTTCTCCATAGAGAGCTTTGAGAAGAGGAATGGCATCTTCAAAGGAAATTGGGAGAGACGGGATGGAAGGTTGGTTACCGACTTCTAAACGAGTGGCATTGGGATATGCGGGTACACCTGGAGTGGTAGGATCACCAGGATAAGCAGAGATCTATCATCAGCATGAGTCCTCAACCTTCCTGGACAAAAGGGCCTTTTTCTTTTCCAGCCAAAATGGGCTGGTATAATGTTTGGAGAAGACCTTAGGAAGAGGAAGCTAGGTAGAATGTGTACAACAAGGGGAGTTTCATGACATGATTAGAGACTTACGAATTGAACACTGCCCCGTTGAACAGAACTCGGTTGTCTAGCAGGTCCATCAGGATAAGCTTTATATCCATTCGCCTCCGTTATCTCCCCATCATCCCCCGGATCAGTGAAAATCAAACAGCCCACAGCTCCAGCCTCTTGAGCGGCTTTAACCTTTAACCCTCTGAACGGACCGCCATACTTTGTCAAAACTATTCTCCCACTGACGTTGACACCTTTCGACTCCAGTAACTCAAAATCTGATTTCCGACCATATCCCACATAAACGTATTGAGCCGTGACATCTCCACTGACTGATAGACCGTGGAAAACGGGAACGGAGTCACGGTATATAGAATCGGGATCATCTCCAACGATATCTTCTTGTAATTTAGCATGGAAGGGCGGATCGGATAATAGGGTGAGGGAGGAAGAAACTGGTTCGTTCATCACTGGGTAATACTATGATTCAGCTTATCCTTTAATCTACCCGAAATGAGCATGTAGCAAATGACAAGAGTGTCGAGATCATGGTTAATGATGTACTTCTACATACCTGATCTATCCATACTCCCATTTCATCCATTCCTTCTCTAACCCGACTCTGACTTTCAGGACTGCCTGCATCGTAAAGATGTTCATCCGCACCGGAAGTTGGAAGCCCTAGGACAGTCTCCCATTCATTCTTCACCTCCAGAGCTGTGATCAGATCAAACCCAGAACCGGCGGGATGTGGTCTCTTCGTATATTTCCTCAGCGCCCTGTGAATCAGCTAAGCTTTTCATTGGCATGAGCAAGAAAATACGGACGCTCTACAAGAGTCATTGTTGGGGACTCGGAGATATATCTTCTCTGCAAGTTTAGGAGGTATGATGACAGGGGGTTTACTACCTGGCAACTTGGGAAAATAGTGGAAAACGTCGTCATTCCTGCACGGCCCATTGTGATGTTTTGGTGGAAGGGGAAGAGCTTGGATGAGACCTTTGTCGACGAGTCCAGATAGGTATGCGTCTTCTTCGATTGTGATGTTTTGGAGGTACTCGTCAAGGGTGAAGGGGAGATTGTTATGGTATAGGAGGACGAGTATAGTCAGGAGGACGTAAAAGTATATTCGCCGATACGGACGAGGTCGATCGGATGTGGATGCTACCGAGATGGGCGGAGGTAAACTCGGGTGTTTCCACTCGGGACTTTTCTCGAATGAGGACTGATGGTCGACCATGTCCCTAACGCTTGATCACACCTCTCACCACTCGTCAGGTGTTGTCAAATCGGCAGAGTATTTGTACTACACGTCGTACTTGATAAGGGGGAAAAGGGGGAAAAGGGGGTGGTGGAGGGAGAAGTGATCGAGATTAGGTTGCCGTCGGATCCGAAATTTCAAAGTGACGTGATCGGACACGCCGCACTGCCCGAAGGTCACCAATCAAAAAAGTTTCATGAACAACGTTCTTAAGAATATAAACCTGATCCCATCCGTTGCATCTCGTTCTCCCAACAGGTATCTGCGTGTCGGTCGAACAGTAGCAAATATGGACCCTAACGAAACCGTTCTGGTTGGATGTATCGGTGGTAGCGGGTTGTATCATTTGGACAATCTGACTTTCGTGTGAGTGCTTCTGAGAATCTTCTACTGTGGACGCCCCCCCGTCTGGCCTTCTCTTCACTCGTGAGACTGTCTCTGCCGGTGCTCCACTCCTCCGTTACCAGATAGCATAAAGAGTATCCTCTGCGCTGAAGACAAGGGAGGTGTTTACAAGATCAAAGCTCATGAAATAGCAAAAAGCTTCACATCAAAACTCCCTGGGGAGAACCTTCTTCCCCAATCACAATCTCCAAACTTCCTTCAGGAGCTCTTATCGCTTTCATCTCACGTCATGGTCCAGCTCACACCATCACCCCTACCGAAGTACCCGGTAGAGCCAACATCGCCGCTCTCAAACATATAGGAGTCCAAGCCATTGTCGCTTTCTCCGCTGTGGGTAGTTTGAGGGAAGAAATTGCCCCCGGAGATTTCGTGATGCCTTCTCAAATCATCGATCGCACAAAAGGTATCCGAGAAGATACATTCTTCCGTGGTGAGGGTGTCGTCGTTCATAGCATGTTCGGAGATCCCTTCAGGTAAGTAGTCCCTCAACAAACGTGTTCTCAAGTTGATGGGATAGTAACAAATTGATCGACCTCATAGCTCCCTTGGTCGAGAATGTTTTGGAGGGAAAGGAAAGAGCTCCAAAGTTACATACTGGTAAAACTGTCGTTTGTATGGAAGGTAAGTTCAATTATGTCTTTTTGAATGAGTCAAGATTGACGAATAGGACCTGCTTTTTCCACGAGGGCAGAATCTACCATGTATCGTCAATGGGGAGGTGACATCATTAACATGTCTGTCATTCCTGAGGCTAAACTCGCTCGCGAGGCAGAGATCGAGTGAGTGACTTGGCATCGGGCGTCTCTTACTTGTATCCTTTCCATCCAGCCTCGTTATTCGGCTGATCGCCCTCTATGCCTCGAATCGGTCATCTAGAATGGGGGGATCGAGAAGATCATCTCTCCATCGCTGCCAAGTTGGATCGCTGTGGTCACTGCCAAGTTGACCCGCCGAGGTTGCCGATCTGGTACTGAATAATGAAAGACGGAATGTGAACTGACACACAGTTACGCTCTTATCTGCACATCGACAGACTACGATGCTTGGCGTGTTGGAGAAGCCCCAGTGACTGTGGAAGAAGTCATCAAGACGTTACATACCAACGCGGAATACGCACGTTTGGTCGCGGAAGGTTTACTTCAACAAGTATACGATGCTGTTGCTGGTGGCAAGTTGGATGAGATAAAAGGTTGCATGAGATTTGCATGTGTCACTAGGAAAGATGTGAGTTTGTTTCTCTACTTCTCTGATCCAGTCGAAACGTTCAATGACTGACCAAAAGGTTCAACCTGAGGAAGCGAGAAAGAAGTTTTCGTACATCTTGCCTTATTTCGATTAGAAGTCTAGAAGTGTGGTTAGCAAAGTGCCAAGTGTTCAAATGGAGTATGAAGTATAGACTAGCCATGTCTCAAGTAAACGATCTGCAACTGGAATGACATGAATTCGATAAGATGAACTTTATGGTATGTACGTTTGTAAGTTTTGTTGAGTACAACGCCAAGGATTGCCAAATTTGAGCGCGAATCCGAATTCCCACCTTGACTTTGTCGATCTGTTCGGATCTTCACTTTCAACTCTTTACTCTTCACTCTTCGACTCTATCTGTCTCATCTTATACTGTAATATTCATGGTAGGATCATTCAATCACTAGTGCTATCTCAGACATACTCGGTACAAGCGGCAGAGCAAGAGTAAGACATGTTTAAAATCCCAAAAATAGTTTTTTCCGACACCCCTCGGTCCTTTATTCTCTTCTCTCTTCTCTCCCCTCTCTCCTCGATCTCCTCTCTCCCTTCCCGATCAGGGTCCAACCGCCTCCGCCGCCGGCTTGTACGCCCTGGCCAAGTTTTGCTGCTCTTTTTTGACCGCTCAACTGCTCCAGACCTAAGTAGAGCAGCCTCTGACGACGTATACCGACCCGCGAACCACCGATCCCAGGTTTGAGATCTGAGAGCTAAGAACAGGAAGGATGGACCTTTATTGATCCTCATTTCTCTTAGCTCCTTGGAATTCCAGGCACTTTTACTGATGTTACCATCACTTGGAAGGAGGGCGTTCGTCGCAGTTTTCATTTGATAGCTGATAAATATCTATATCGGGGGTGCACGTGCAACATATATATAGTTTATCCTCCCTTACATTGAATATTCGGCAACTATCACAATCACGAATCCCACTTACATTCCATAGGTCATAGACACGGACGATTACCGGACAGGCCCGGCTGGTTGAATTTGAAGAAAGAGGAAATCTCAAGAGAATAAAATCTAGAAAATAGCGAAGGAGGATACGAGTAGATAGGGAAAGTGAAAAGTGGGGGAAGAACGAAGATGTGGAGTATTCTTTGGTTGACTCTTATATCAAGTTTCGGTGGGGTGATAAGAACAAGAGCAGTAGAGAATCAAGTCAGTTCTTACGCAAACGTATTTTTCTCACCTTCACATGTCATCAATAATACTTGGTTTCAAAATTCACATTGGTCAAGGAGGAAAGCGGAATGGTGGGCTACTCAATTAATAGCTGGCGGACCGTGGTGTGAGTGTGTTTCTTCTTACTTGTCACTCCAATATTCATAATGTGTTCTTTTATCCATACGCTCAGTCTGAGAAACCAGTCTGAGAAACGTATCAAAATACTTACCTGGGTGACAGCTCGACCCTTCCTTTCCCTTTCCCTTTCCCTTCTCATCTTGCCTTATAGCGAAGTGCACGAAGATGATTAGGTGACGATGGACCCTTACATCCTCTGAGGTTTCATTTCTCAGACATGGTCTTTGGCTGACATCATAGCGGTCATAAATAAAAGTATCTCGGCTCATTCTGGTGATCCTCAGTACGTCCCTCTTACTTTTTCCGACGCACAGACCACTCGTCTTTCTCACTCATGACTCAGATCATGACAAGCATTTTATTTCATTTAGATAGAATGTGGAGGAAGAGCTTATGCTGACTGTTCTAGTGATTATCTTTCTTATGCTGTTTACTACTGGCCCAATTGCACGGATGTGCAAAACACAACTGAACTTACACCTCAAGAAGGTATGTTACTAGCTCATGATGCCCACTTGATGTCTTGAGCTGACAGATAGTGTGGTCCGAATGTATCTACTACCAACGAGACGGAGTGTTCAATCCTGATATTTGTGAGTTGGGCTTTATCGTTTTTCTCCCAGTCAGCTCCATCATCTCTTTCCCTTCTTTCACCGCCATGGCAAATCCACAACGATCTTCACCTTGCCATCACCTCTTTCATCCTTCTCACCCATCTCTATAATCTAGCTTCGAGTTCAGAATTGTAGACTGAAGAGCATGAGAAATAAAATATGAGAGCTATGGTCAGAGAGTGTGGAAGTGCGGAGAATTGATAAGAAAAAGCTTGTCATTTTTGACTGACTTCTAGACCAAGTACAAAACGTCGAAGCAGTCAACAATCTCACCGACTTCATTTACCTAGCCGCTCTCGCCTACGCCTCCACTGGTAATCCAAAGTGGTCATCAGCAATCAACTCCTCTCTTTACACCTTTTTTATCGATCCGGACACATACATGAACCCTAATCTCGATTACGCTCAAGTGGTCCGTGGTAGAGATAACCTGAATCAGACCGGGAAACATACCGGTGTTTTGGATCTTAAGGGAATGGCAAAGTTAGTCAGTGGAGTGTTGATTTTGAGAGAAATGGGTGCGGAGGAGTATGGTAAGGTCGTAGATGATGGTTTAATGGATTGGGCTGCTAAACAAGCGGATTGGTTGGAGAATAGTGATCTGGGAATAATGGAAAAGTTATCACCGAAGTGGGTTTTTTCGCTGCCTCCTGCTAGTCTATTCATTTGTCTGCTTTCGCACCCCACAGCCTGTTTCCTGGTGATGGACCCATGGTTCACTGTTTTTTCTCCTACGGTCATGCTTCGAGGTACAAACGAGCTGACTCACAGTAATCACGGAACATTCTACTACAACCAACTTTGCTCTCTCTACGTTCTACTAGGTAATACCGAAAGAGTTCGTGAATTACTCGAAGAATATTATTCCACCATTTATCAAGGTCAAATCGTTCCATCTGGTGATCAACCTTTAGAAAGTTTACGTACAAGACCAGTAAGTCTACCTTTCCCTCATCTTTCATCACATGACAAGCTGACAATATATTAGTATCATTATCGAGCCTATAATCTCGCAGCAGTTGTAACATTAGCAAGAATAGGAGATTATATCAACCTACAACCATCTGGATGGACACGTCAATCCGGTGGGAATTCTACTATCCTTGACGCTTTGAAATACGCAATGGCACAAGATCCAGCTACTCATAACGAAACGGATCAAATGACCACTTTAAGTCCTAGTGTGGCTGCTATAGCAAGTATGATGGGTGATCCAGATGGTAATCTTGCGACTTTTTTAAAACAAGCAGATCCTTTTTATCCTGGTTCGGTTTATTATTCTTTAAATTCCGGTGTTAGCGATTCGGGTATACATCAAGGATTGATAGAAACTACATATGGACCAAAAGCGGCTCAAGCTACAGCGGGAATGGGAAGGAAAGTAAGAGGGATACCTTGGGGTGGAAGATAAGATAATCAGGAATTGACTTGATCGACTGAGAGGGGACGTGGATTATAAGAGGATGTTGAGAGGAGAGAAAGATCGTAAGTGTATCGGAGATGAACATGGTGGGTGTCGAGGGAAATTGTAAGTGTATCGGAGACGAACATGGCAGGTGTCGAGGGGACTAATGAAAGTGTTAGGTATCAGAAACAATCAAGAGGAGGGAAGGTTGAAGATTTAACGAAAAACACAATACACAAACACGAAACAAATCTCTTGCATTAATCTCATACATACATAGCATTTTCTTATTGATACTGTAGATGAATTCATTATTATGATAAAAAAGGATTCATATGACCCAATTCGACATTAAATCTTGTTTTTCATTCATATCCTAATAACTCAATACCCAATATCTTAAACCTCAAAGCATCATTGATGGTTGTCTCAATAGTAGGCCTAAACTTTTATATAAGCTACTACCTCAAATTAGAACAGAGGAGGATTACAGCTCACATTGAACATTCTGAAGGTATTTAAGTGATGATTTGCAGGTAGCTCCTCAATCAGTCTTCACGATTTTACCCTCTACCTCTTTCCGAAGTTCAGTAACGACAGCTGCTAAACCATCTGGATGAGCACCGTTTTCTATCATACCTACACATATCGATAATGTCTGTTTGTCCAAACCTGCTGTCAGTATCTCTTCGGAGACGCACATTCCTGAATATATCCTCCGTCATCATGATTGATGTCTCATGATCTAATCAAGGTCTTCGATTCTCTTGAAAAACTGACATCTTAGGACATGAGGATGAACGCTCTAACAACGTCTGATATTCTCTTCATGTGAGAGAGAATGGAAAGTGATTCAGACCCCATGGAAGAGGATACACGCGACTCACCAGTCTGAAGTAGTTGAGATAGATCGTACAGTGCTACCTCATCAGCCCGGCCTTGAAACCAGACATCTTACTTGAGATCTGATGTACACCCTCGTGAAGCAGATATGTGAGCTATCCGTTGGTATTGATGATTTGTGTGAATGAAGCGGATGTAAGAGTATGAAAACTCACCATCTATCGTCTCTCTTGCATTCTTCAACCTCATCTCTGCGCTACTACTGGTCGAAGGAGCTGATGTCGACATGATCGCGGAAGACCCTTTCTTTCCCTTCCATCAATCTGTCTGGTCCCACCCTTTCCAGTTCCTACTTACCAGTCGGGATGTTCAAGCCCTGCTAGCCAGTAGCGAATAATAAGGTGTACAGTGAAGAGCAGTACGAGCGTTGTGGTATATGTAGAGTGAGGATGAAATACAACATCAAAACCGAGGTACCGAGGACGCGACGAGAATTCCAACCACAAACCACCATCTTTTCTTTCAATTCTCCTTTTACACTTGCCTCCCAGTTTTATTAGATCCTTTCCTCTCACTCGACACTTCCACAACCGCTTCAGATCTTCCAGACGGTAAGGAATATGCCCCCTTAAGGGATGACTTCCCGTCGACGTCGAATCCGTTCTCAAACTTCGAAATCTCCCTCTTGGACTATCTCTCAAAATCGTCCATCTTCTACCTCTTTGCCACAGCCGCGTCATCTGGAAACTCAGCCTTTGCAACCTACCGATCCGTCCGACGCTGACGATTCGTACGTTTCAGAGCAAGAATCTGGCATACTTTTCACTGGGGGAGAGACTAGTTACACCGATTGGATCGGGTGGATATACAAGAGACTTCAAGAGTTGGAGGAGAAGTGTGAGTATTGGTGGGTTCATATTTACCAGACAATCTGGTTTTTTTGGAATACAGTCATATACAAAGTCTTGAGGACTTACGAGGTGATTAGAAAGAGAGAAATGGGGAAAGGATTCAGAGGATGGTTTAGATCTGATGTTGGAGGCGAGCTTGAGGATGTTGGGATAGGAGAGAAGGTCATAAAACGACGTCGAGCACAGAAAAAGGAGATGATAAGTGAGTCTTTCATCTATGTGTTTGTCAAGATCCCACAGGTGACTCCATCCCATTGAGGTATGGGATATCGTATGTGTCAATTCAACTGGTTATTAATTGGGAGGAACTATACTGGTATATCTTGGCGATCGGTCTGAAGGCTTGATACCGGAAGATGTCCCCTGTAACGGTGGGATTCTAAAGCAAAGCGGATCGAGATCGATCAGAGGACAATTTGAAGCGAAAAGTTTGGGATAAGGTGTCTGAAGGAAATACAGGAAGGCAAGGGATAACGTACAAGCTGAAGTCAGGCTGGAGAGGAGAGCCGAAGATTAAGGAATGATGAATGGCTTTTTCTACATTGCTGACCGTCAGAAGGAGAAGGTGAACATTTCCCAGGGATGGTCAACCTTTCTGGAACGTTGTGTTATATGAATTCAGTCTTACAAGTGAGTTGAAATTCCCTGTTTTTACCCCTCACACTTCGTTCCAGGAATCCATGTCAATATTTCTTTCAACTCTTCTTCCGACTCTGTGTGGCCTTGTTCCATGTTACACCCATCGACTATACTCTGACCCAGTATTCAAATTGGGCGGATAGTCTGATAAGGCGTCAAAAGAAGTATATACTAACCCCAGGCCTTCGCATCACTCCCTTCTCTCGTACATAATTTAGACACCATAATAGCTCTTGCGGTCGAAGTCGATCTTCCCACTCCAGTAACCGATACCCTCTCTTCAACTTTACAATCCCTCAACACCCCATCTTCTCGTGTTCCAAAACCCATACGTCCCATATCTCTCCTTCAAGCTCTCGAACCTTTACCTCAAATTCGTCGTCTATTGTCCACACGGGAACAACAAGACGCACATGAGTTGTTCGTTGTTTTAGCTGAAGCAGTCTCAGATGAAGCCATGAAGGTGGCAATTGAGTTTGCCCATATTAGAGGTTTAGGGGAAGTGTTGACTTTGCAAGAAGGTCTTGGGGGTGGTAAGAGAGAAGAAAAGAAGAAGAGAGGAAAGATAAAAGCTTTACAACAACCTTGGGAGGGGTTAATGGCTAGACGTAGGGTTTGTAAAAGGTGTGGATGGTGTGAAGCTGTTAGGATGGATACTTTGGGAGGTATGGAATTACCTATTCCCTTAAATGTGAGTTCGTCGTTGCTCAGTATACCTTTCGACCCTTCACTTTCCTACCTGATCCTACATAACCTCCATCAACATGACAGGCACTTACCGTCGAGTCGTCATGAGCACGGTACAAATATGTTGGGTAGCGGCGGAGTTGAATCAACCTCTGATTCGCTGCAACTTATCACCCCAGTGTGTGAGGCGAGGTTTCAAAAGGGAAACTGTCAGATGTTGCTGATAGATGAAACACGACTGACATTTAGGGCGATATATCTCTTGACGCCTGTATAGCGGAATACCTCGCACCTGAAAATTTATCCGACGTCACATGCGAAATGTGTTCATTACGTTTGACTCAACAACAATACGCTTCAGAATCTTCACGTCTTTCCCTCCCTCCTAATTCCCATCCATCCAATGATCATCAACCTATCGCATCTTCATCTCGTCACTCTTCCGGCTCTTTTTCCCCACTCAGTACACTTCCAACCAATGCCACCTCTATCCCAAGTCCAAACGAATTAACCCCATCTCGTAAGAAAAAAGCTCGTGAGGCTTCTCGTATAGCAGGACGTTTACAAGAAATGTTAGATTCAGGTGTCGTCACACATTTCAATGAACCTCTTCCACCTACACCTTCTCATCCTAATTCTTTACCTATCAAATGGTTAAATTCCAGAGGAGAATCTCTACGTCAAGCAGCTATCATACGACCTCCTCAAAGTCTACGACTTCATTTCATTCGATCGGAATATACACCTTATGGTACTTTATTAAAGAAAACAGCTAGAGTGAATTTCCCTATCATACTTGAGCTCACTCGATTTGTAGCTAGAGGAGTTTGGGAAGAAAGAACTTCAGTTTTAAACATGTTACAATCTTCTACCAATGTTGATAATAACAAAACCGCCAGGGTTTTGTATAGACTTGAATCAGCTATTTTACATTATGGTTATACACATTCAAGTGGTCATTTCATTTGTATAAGAAGGAAACCTATCAAGAAAGATGGATATAAACCTATTGCGGGTGAAAAGAATTGTCAAGATTGGTGTACTTGTGACGAATGTAGGTTCGTTGGTCCAGTAAGAGAAGAAATAAAGGATGGAAAAGGTTGGTTAAGAATTTCAGATGATGATGTTGAAGAAGTTGGAGAAGAAGCTTTGATAGAGAGTAGAGGGGCTATTTTCATGTTATTTTATGAGAAAGTGAAAGAGAATAAAGAACTTTCTAGACCAATTTCGAGAAGTTCGGAGAAGGTTATATATAGTCAAGAAGGTGAAGTAAAATGATATAGTATATAAAATGCATCTTAGATCAAAGAAGTCCAAGAGATAATGATTGAACGGAAGACCATTCTGGTGGCTAGAAAGTCAGATATGGAATGAAACAAGTTTGAAGAGTTCACTTACATTTGACCGGGTTTCGAATTGTAACCAATCTGATGAACTGGTAGGTAAAACTCCCATCGTAGATGTTTTGTATAAACCTAAACTCAATCTGGAAAATATCAGCTTTATCTTTAAGTCACTTGGTAGTTGGATGTATGTGAGAGGAGAGCGAGTACTCACACTAGTGCTTGACAGATGACGTAAACTACCATAGGACCAGTCAAGGGGAGATAAGATTCTTGTCCTGGTTTACCCCAGGGAGGAAGTGTTTTAAATGGTTCGAATGCTGAGAGTTAGTCATAACCTCATGACGACCCCCGTCCGTCTCTGTCTTTCTCCATGTAAGTCATTCAGCTGCTCTAATATTTCCCCTGGGTCCGAAAAAAGCCATTCGAGAGGCTAGGACCGTCCTATGTCCCACGCTCAGTCTAGCCAGAATTTCGCCCATCTCCTCTCGCTGACAGTGTCACAATCCCCCCCACCCCCCCAATGTACAGTATAAGGAACGTGAGAGATATTGACTCGAAGCTGAGCACGAAAAAGCAGGATGAGTTTCGACTGACCAGAGAATATGTTGAATACAGCTTTGATAGGACTGGTAAGAAGCATAAACACTATCCCTAAAGAGAAGATTTGAACGCCAGATCCTGAAAAGTAAAGCATGATAGCTTGCATAGGTAATGATTTTGCCGGTCTGAGGATCAGCATTATTCATTGTGACCTGTCCAATTCCATTTCCTCCGGGCCACAGTAGTCTTCATCCGATTGATGAAGAGTCAGAACCTTACACGGCTGAAGGGCGGACCGGAGTGAGAAGTTTTCAAACTGGGGTTGAGGATGACGGAGCACATGTGAAGAGGGGGGGGTGAAAACTCACGATAACGCCAATTCCCAAGCTCGTTTCATACGTAAATCACTTGATCTTTTCGCTTGTAAAGCCGGATCGACTCTCTGATACCATCAATATTCCAGACAATCTACTTTGAAGGAGAAACGGACTGGGGGTATGACATCTTTCTTCGTGTTGGTAGGTGCGAGAGGTAAAGAGAAACCAGGAGGGTTTGGAATGTTCCTATCTTTCAGCTGGTAACAGGCGTAAGTCCGTCGGTCAGCTCACTTCAATGTATTCTTGGATAAAGGTTCCATCTTGGGTTCAATGTTTCCTGACTTGAATGAGTTCCAAGTATGTCTCTATGTGTGGGAGAAGAGGTGGTCGGGTGAGAGAAAGGCAAATATGCAAGAGATGTTGGTGTTGTTCGTCGTCAATTCGTCATTCGTTCCTGAATTTTGAACTACTTAACTTACTGCCATTCGTTTTTCTTGCCAACTTTATTCACATTCCACTCTTCGTCCTATAACGATGTGGGCACTGTCATTGCTGTTAGCTACGGTAGTGACAGCTACAGACCTCATATCGTGTTCTGCTCAAGCTGCTAAAGCCCACCCATGTGCGGTACCGCACCCCGGAGGTTTAATGGTATTCAGACAGAGGTTTGAACCTGACGTTGGGGGGGATCAAGGTAGTTGGGGTATAGATGGGCTTCAAGTGCTAGAGTGAGTGTTTCCTCATGGGTAGCATTACATCGTATGTCAAGATCATATGTCACATGTGACTTGGAGGACGGAGGACCGGTCAGTCGTCTGAGTACTCCTACTGGTACCGGGCGCATCTCAGTGGAATGAAAGATGGATAAATAGGATGATCTTCTAACCGCAAGCTGTCAAAATCAACATGAACTGAAAGCTACCAACGCCGAACCATTCGCACCTGCTTACGATCATGAACATGTAGCTTCATTTACGCATCGTTCAGAGCTGTTTGGAGGGGAGGAGAGTGTTTTACGAGCTGAAGCTGAATGGGCGCAGAGCGAGGTGGGGGAAGGGGTTGAGGAGGTACAAGAGAGAACTGTGAGTTTTTTTGATATTTCTACCTCGTATACTCAACACGATTCGCACAGTCCTTATCTTGTTTTGGCAACACAGGTGCACTGATGTCCCTTCAAACTCCCATAGCCTCACTCAAATCCTATATGCTGACACGATGTTCTGACTCGGATGATTGAGAATATTCCGGAGGAACCAAACGGCATGGAAAAGGGAGATATAACGACAAGACTGAGGAAGACTGAAGCTGATTGTCAGTGGAACACAGCAGGTAGATGGATATCAACATTCGCACCATCTTGCAGTCCCGCACGTCGAGAAGGGGAAGAAGTACGTTTTTCTCCCTGTACTAAAACCGATGCTGAGGTTTGAGCAGGTAGCAAGCTTCTTTCATGCCCTACACCTCTTACATGGACGATTCCCAACTGCGAAACTTCTCTCGGATGCCGACGTGAGTATTTCCGTTCCACCCACGACCGGAACTTCTAGCGGAAGGGAATCAAGTGGGGGAGATAGTAGCTAATGGAAAGATCACACCATCGGCAGATACCACTTACTCTCTCTTTGAATTGGTCGCTGCTTTGACTTTTAACGATTTTAAACCTGTGGTAAGTCTTCGAAAAGAATCAATCCCGTAAATCATGGGGACTGAGGGGGTGGGAAAGAAGGTAGTTGACGAATTAAAGGTAACTTGCGTCAATTATACACTCTCGACAATTCTTTGGCCTCTCAACGTCGGGGGAAAGTTTCAAGAAAACAACTTCATCCCTTCTTCAAAATTCTCCTTACAATCTACTTGTCCTCCAGAAGGTATAATGTGAGTATTCATTCAAACCCCCTTCACTCTCGGTTTGTCGCGCAACCTCAATGCCCAACTGCATTTTATATTCCGCGTCGTGTACTAAACGTCTACACACGCCCCGCGTTGAGTTTTCCGCTCGTCCGAACTGTTTCTGAAACGGTCGGTTTTTGACATCCAGCTATCCCCCATCCATCACCCTCCCACCGATGACCACGTCATACACTTGGGACCCCCTCACTCGGCCTACTCCACGACCCATCACACTCTCTTACGACGAGAGCAAAGTCTACACACCCGGTCTCGAACTCAACCCCAAAAGACTTCGCGCGTTCAAGGACTATGAAGAGGAGCGGTTGGAAGAAAAGGAGAGCAAAGTCATAAGACAATACCCTCGGGACGAATTATAGCCTATGATATAGAGTATACAGTCCTCTGGTAGATGGACGAGAGCATCTCATTTACGACAGCGCTGATTTCTGACGTACTCCACAAAGCAGGGTTGTTATTGAGCCTTTCTGGACGGTTTATGCGATGGGATCGCCACCCGCTCATGACAAGCAAATAGATATGCAGCGGGTACCTGGTAAGCACACACACTCAAGCGCTTGTGACGAAGTGTCCCTTCCTCAACACGCTTCAAACCATCGCACTGTCACAGACGGGGGTGTTCACCGTCATTCATAGGGGCGATTCAATGGTAAGTGTTTCGGGTCAACATCCGATCCAACATGTAGTGCATCAGTACACCGTACATGTAAGTTACAGTTTCTTTCATCCCACGCTTTGTCACTATGGAGAGCGTAACCAAGGTACACAAAGACTTATTATATGTTGATATTTTGGAAGCGGCCGCTTATAGTTGTTTTGTCCGCATGGTGTAGTGGTTTAGCATTTCTCTTTCCGGGCCATGGATGGGGAATGGAGACGGTCCGGGGTTCGAATCCCTGTGTGGATTCTTCTTTTATCTTTGTCCTCAGCGTTTTGCTTCGTTGCCCAGCTCTTCTGAGGAATATGTACCAATAACATATCAAAGGGGATCAACTTCTTACCCCAATACCTGTGGACTCTGATAGGGCTGTGTGAGCGATCCCCTCTTTCCTCTGCTCATTCAGATCCCTCGACGACTTGGGTCGACCCCTCACGTCAAAGACTGACAAGGTCTGTCCGGCGACAGACGTAGAATGGCCCAGGAGAGTCAATTTGTCCTCTACGCCGCATGATTTTCCCCTTTCCCCAGCGTACTAACGTGCTCTGCTCGACTTTGAACCTCACCGCCTCATGAATGGCCATGAGGGGTTGATGGTATTTACTACTGACATCTCCCTTCCAACCTCCGCTACTCGGATTGTCTTAGAACCTCGAACTCGCTCTTCATCGCATTATCTGTTACGGCCGAAGGACATGCGGTGTCGGCGACTCGGGCTGATGGTGCTAACACGTATTGATCCCTCAACCAACAGGTCAAAAAGCACATGGGATCACGGAGACGGATGGACCACACGTCATCACGAGGAACCGGCAACGGGCACTGAAAAGCGCACAGCAAGCAAGAAGTTGATGTCTCTTTAGTGTGGTTTTGCAAGGCCGACACTTCGGACCCTCTTTCAATAACTTAACTTAACTCACTAAAAGTCTGCATAAAAAAGTATAAAGAGCAATCAAGATGAGAGTTCTTTCACCATCGGACAACTCGAAGCGACTCGACATCTCTCGATATGTTGGCGGCACTTTTTATGGTGGCTTCAGCTGCGGCTGCACCTCTTCAACCTGTTTCTTCTTCACCATGTGCTTTACTTGATAGTAATGCCGCATGTGAGTATCTCCTTGTTCCTTCATATTGAGATTGTTGGTCGGCTTCATGACTTGTTTTATCAACAAGAGATCATTGCTGATCATCAGACTGGACACCGTCACAGGTTAAAGCATGTTTCGAATCCGTCCCATTCGACGAGAGCATTCGTCAAAACGTCTTGAATGTGGTCACTTCTTTGTATACGATGGCCATTTTTCAATTCAACCAGTTGGGTGACGAAGATCCTGTTTTGAACCAAGGTATTGATATCATGGGGGAATGTGAGTCGTTTCTTTGCAGCCCTTCTTCATGTAATACTCCGCATGTACAATTTTCTTTTCCTCTACCCTCCTCCCCCAGATGATTTAATTTGTGGAAGGGAAAGTCTGGGTTGACGACAATCGGAACCGATGAACTCGTACTGATAACTAGTTGCTCGGATCAATACCACCACCTATTCCTCAGACTTTGACTTCCAATTCGATCTCGCCACATCCATATATGCACTAAACGATGGTCATTATTCTTGGACTCCATGTTATTACGCCATGTTCAATTACACTCAAGCTATCCCTATCATCTCCGTCCAAGGACCTACCGGTCTTCCAGAAGTTTATATCCCTCCTGATCTCTCTGTCTACTTGGAAGGATTCAACGCCACTTCCATCTACTCTACTTTAGGATTAGACGCCGACGAACTTGCTTCCGCTCAAGTATTGGAGATTGAAGGTTTGGACGCTTTGGATTATCTGGTTGATGTAGCCGTACCCCAAGCTGGTGTATTTCAAGATCCAGCCCAACGATTAAATTATCAGTTTGCGGGTATCACTGGAAGAAATGGTATTTTCGATAGATCCGCAGGACATTTCACAACCACTTTGACTTTGGAGAAGGATAATATCACGATGACCGTGAAGACTTTGAAGGGAGATGTTGTTAATCTCACTTTACCTTATTTGATAAGATGGAATTCTGCTGTTCCTTTTAATTTTTCGTCCGGAGAAGAATTGTGAGTTTTCTCTTGTCATTTCTGTTCGACTCACAATCAATGTTCCTCTTCCTCCAACCAACTATCTATTATGACAGCTCAGAGTTCAATGAAATTTAGACAGAAGTGAATCAAAGGGATCATGCTGATTCTCACAAGCTTCCAAAAAGTTTGTTCTGTCAACTCCACCATAACATCTTTATCAAATTCAACTTCATCCACCAACTCTACCGTTCCACCTCCTCTCCCTGCCAACATCACCACAGGAGCTCCCAATTTCCCCGACGTCGTTAATCGTGTTTATGGCACCTGTCCTAATCTCCCCAATACAGCTCGTTTCCCATTGAAAAACGATCCTACTTTAACACCCAACTATCTTGGTGGACGAGACATTCAATTTTACACACTTCCCAATAAAACAGATGTCGGTGTTATTTACGTCCCAACTTTGGATCCAGCAGGTAACGAAGATGAATGTACAACACGTTTTTTCGTTGATTCAGTACTTGGTCTTCAAAACTTTTCAAAAAATGGTATCACAAAAGTCCTACTAGATACTACAAACGATGGAGGAGGATTCATTTCCTTAGCTCAACTTCTTGAAAGACTATTCACAGGAGAGAAATATACACCAGAAAATAATTTTCAAACCGTTTTTCGAAAAGTACCTTTATCTCAAGCTTTATTACAAGCACATCTTGATAATCCTTCAGCTCCTGCAAATACATTTTCACCTGTATCATATAGAGAATCGAATTTAACGGATTTATCAAACGATACGAATTATTTCAAACCTGGTCTTTCAAGACAAATCAATAATCATACTTTATACACTTCCGATTATATTTCCGATTCTCTCGATACTTTGACAGTTTACAATAAAGTTGTTCCCTTTACACAGATGGCACCTTACGCACCTTCCGAAATAGTCATCACTGGTAATGGTTTATCTGGAAGTGCTTGTGCTTCTTTCATTAATTTTTTAATCGAATATTATAATACAACAGCTTGTATTCACACTCCTTTCCCAGAAAAACCAATTGAATATCAAGCTTTCTCAGCTGCTCAATCTATCACAGGAGGAGATATTTATGACGAAGCCCAAAGTCTTAATTTCACAAATCCGTTGTTACCACCACCATTGGAAGTTAAAGGTACGATTGGATTTGCGTTGAGGGGAGCTTTGAGTCCGAATATCGCCCCGGGAAAGTTTGTGCAATACCGTACGGTCCCCGCTGAGAAAACGTATCAACTCACTATGGAAGGATATGAGGATCCGTTATTGAATTGGGGACAGGTGGCGGATATGGTGTATCTCTGAAATTGGTGTCACGAAAAGGATAGAGGATAGAAAGATGATAAGAGGATATTACCTCGTGGAAGATAATACTTTATGACAATCCGTATGTAGAATACTCGTACTGTAGTTAGAGGCTGTGTTTACGATTTTGACGAATGCATTGATGTTTAACGATGAGTGTCAAAAGACGTCCTTCCGTTCCAAGCTAGCTTTTATCAAATTTGCATACACGACGAGATAAATAACCGGTACAAGAACTAAAAGCTAGGAGTAGACAATATTATCCAAGCAACCTTCTCACTCTACAGTACCAAACCAGATCTCACACTCTCAACCCCGCACCAAACTTTCTCTTCGCTATATCATCCACCAACCCTCTCATCTTCCCCCAAGCATCCCACCATTCTTTCCCATCTTCACTCTCATCACCCCATTTATCACTGATAACACTCCTCATCCATCTCAAAACCCCAATAACTTTCTCCACCCCACCCAAACTTCCTTCGATACAACGTATCAAATACCCTGACACCTTATCCATATCCCTCTGCGCTGGAGATGAACGTGATTCTATCCATTTTGACAAAACATCCAAAACGTCTGACAATTCAGTGACTTTATATAAGGTCGGTTCAGCAGGACGAGGAATCACAATCACGACTTTGTCCTTCCCATTTATACCCTTCGGATGAGGAGGTATCGAACCACCTCTAGAAACAGTAGGGGAAAGTGATGATCGATTCGACAAGATTGATCCTTCTCTATTCCCATTTTGTCCAAAACGTCCTTGTTGACCAGGTCGACGAAGTTTAGCTCTTTGTTGTTGTCTTTGTCTCTCTTCTTTCACCACTTCATCTTGCATCTCCAAAGGAAGTTCTGAAAAGACATCAGGATCTAACCCTAGAATTCGTAAGTCTGCCACTCGATATTTCCCAATCTTACCTCCGTGGGATTGTCCGTCATTCAGTTCTACACCGATAGAATGAGAAGGGTCTTGATCATTGGTATTTTGACGAGCCCATGCACCATACAAGGGTAAATCGGCAATGGCTCCAGCTTTGAGTTGACTTTTGACTTTCGGACGAAGTTGACGTGTGATATGTGCTGCGGCATGCTTACCTTTAGCTGGGGAAATAGTTGAAGATCTCATTTCCTTTGGAAGAATGGGTGGAGCGATAGAGATGGATCGAGATCGAGATCTAGCGTAATCATCCTTTACTTCTCGTCGAAGATCGGGAGGTAAGGCAGCGAGAAATTCTGGATCGATACCTTCTGACGATGGACCGGGTCTGGATGGTCCAGCTTGATGCAATGGGGAATGTCGAGGAAGGGGAGTAGGCGACAAGGGAGGTGAAGGTGAAGGTGAGACAGATGTAGGACGTATGGCCCTTTCGTTCTCGAGTTCCGTCATCTCCTTCGTTTGACCGACAGTCGGAGTGTTCATGGCACGTCTTGTGCCAAATGCCAACTTCGCTTGCCCTGTTTCCCGAACCACCCCCTGTGACTCGGTATCGAGTTTCGTGACCTGTATCCCTACTCCTCGCAATTCTTGTGGATCCAACTTCATAGATCGCAACAGTCGTAAACTAGCTTCGGTCATTATAGGAGGATCGTCAGTCGCCAATCCCCCTTTAGAGATTTGAGCGGACTTGTTGAATGTCTCGCACCATCCATGACCGAGAAATTTGGGAGGTTCGACAGGTGCATCTGGATGTCGAGCCATGAGTTTGAGGGTCAACAAGCGACCGCGGGCGTTGACGGATTTCATGCGCTTGACCACTTCCAAGGCTAGGTCACGAATGCACGTTTCGGCTTGATCTGCAGTGCGAAAGCGTATTCCATACTGTCAAAGTCAGCTCTACCCACTTTGCCCATATCCTATCCGCCTCCTTCGCTCTCGCAATCCTCGATCGTCCCTCGAATTCAATAAGTAGACTCACGTTCATCTCAGCGCTCACACTCTTGCGCTCCTTGTGAGGCTCCAGTTTCCTCTCATCAACTCCACGTAAATAGCCATACACCATCTCCCCCGTCTTTGGACCCAAGCAGCCTTGGAACGCCGACTTGGGATGTTCGAGTAAATCCTTGACGATCGTGGACCCAAAACGCGTCTCAATCTTCTGTCGTATGGAATACCCGACCGATGGGAAATCCTCTACGTCTAATGGTGCGAGGAATGCTGGTATGTCGGGTTCGAGGAGATGATGTATCCCAGCTGGTTTGGCTCGCCTTGTAGCTAGTTTGGCTAGAAGGATGTTACTTGCGATACCTATTGAAACTTCACAGGATGTTTCGCGCCGGACGTCTGTTCGAATTTTCTCCGCTATTTCGACTGCCGGATCCCTCACGATCTTCAATTCTCCTGCAGCCACATCTGACCTTCCATCGTCAACCTCAGCACCTACAGAACCATCCTGATGAGACATTGAATGGTCTGACCCTACCACTTCCGCCTCCTCAGGAGCCATCGCTTTCGCCCTCACCGCCGACGTGACATCGATCAGCGCCTCATCCACACTGACCGCTTGAAGCTCGTCCGCATATCCCATCAAGACAGTATAAAAAGCCAATGAAAATTTCTTGTACGTCTCGAACTCGTAAGGCAACGTTTGTAACTCGTCTCCCACCAACGTCTTGGCACGACCAAGGGACATACCATTCCGGACACCCTTGGCTCTGGCCTCATAGCTGGCACTAGCAATTTCGGAGGTGCTAGCAGTTGCTCGTCCAGCTTGAGAGTGACAGACCACTGTCGGCTTTCCTCGCAGATGAGGGCGGGTGGCAAGACCGCAAGAGACGAAGAAGCAGTCAAAGTCGACATGCATGATGATCTTTTCGCCTGTTCTAACGTTGAGAAGGGGGGCCCGAGGAAGAGCGGAATTTGCGAGTGAGAGCGGATTGAGGTTCAATTCAGAAGGTCGAGACAGAGAGTTGGCCTCGGACTGGAGTTGGGCAGCAGCGACCAGAACTTTAAGCTCGGCTTTCCAGGTGGACAAGTGATGTAATCTGTCCGTCAGCGCGGACAGCGATCGTGAGGTGACAACTGACCTACTGTTTTGATAGAACGAGTCAATGTACCCCCCTTCGTTCCCTCTTTCCGCGGTGTTCTTGGCTCTCCACTCGTCGTTCTTGAGCATCTTAGCCGCGTCCTCGTTGGACTCTTTGGAATAATAATGTTCCCACCAGCCTTCGGGCTGTTGTACTTTAGGTGGGAGCACTTCCTTAGCCGGAGATTCCTGCTTGACTGCTTCTGGGGAGATGGGGATGATGGAGTGACGAATCGGTTTGAGCAAACTCTGCGTCGCAGCTGCTGGTGCTTGTGGGGTGGTGATGTCGACAGGAGAAACATGGTCGACGGTCTCATTGACATCATCCACAACCGTAGAAATCTCCTGCTTGATCTCGGGAGAATTGGTTGTGCGCTCTTGAATTTGAACTTGACTACCCTTCAGAAACCCCTCCAGTCCTTTCCTCCCATCCTGTTCCCAACCTCCGTCCGGGACCAACTTCCATTTCCTCCAATCTAGAACCTTTCCCTCATTACAACTTTCAGTGATCCATGCTTCCCTGATCACCTTGTAGTTGGCGAACTGTTTGAACTTCATCTGCGTCAACATGGGCGCTATGATATACTGAACAAGGGTCTTTTTGTGGAGCTTGGGTCGTACCTCTCCACCACGTTGTAAAATCATCTTGCGCAGCTCTTCCATGGGAGGATGTGTATTGCCATTGATGTAAAACGACATGCCGGAGAATATTTGAGGCAATCCAGAGGCAGCAGATGCCAGGGCTATGTCTCGATTTTGAGTCTGCACTTTGATCTCTTTCTTGCGCATATAATCGCCGATGTCGCCGAATCGATTAGGGGCATACTCCGCCCCACCAAGATATGCATGACTCTGGTCCAGTGCAGCTTCGTCACGGGATGGTAGGTAAGCCAGAGCAGTCCCTCGAGTGGTCTGTTCATCATTCGTAATGGATGAGTCGTGCAAGGTGAGCAAAGGACTGGGGGAGAGATGGATACGTTTTGCGTCTGGACTTTGTTGGCCCTCTAGATGATCGGCACTTCGCTTCTCGGGTAAGGTGGGAAATTGAACCGACAAGACTTCGTTCCAGAAGGTCTGACTGGAGCTTGGAAGGGATGAAGATGGGGCATCGTCCAATTGGACCATGCTACATGATGTGACAGATGAGGGAGAGAGAGGAATCGTGGTGGCAAAAGGAGGAAGAAGGTTGAGTGGACCAGATGGGAGCCCCACATACGGGGTGCCACACTTCCGGGGTTTACGGCGATATCTCAGCAAGAGAGGCGCGACTGCTTTCTATGTTTCTAACAAGCCTCTGTAGTTGCTGTAGGTTATGATTCAACCCTTATCTCACCACTCATACTCACCCTCTCTTTATCAACACTCATTGCTATCCTAATACGTCACGGTCATTACAGTAAACGTATCCCATCTGCCACACGATCATCCTCAAGAATCCCGGTTAGAGTGCATGCTAGACCAATAGGCGAGATCAACAACTCCTTCACCACCCGGCCAGCCTTCCTCATCCCCCCTCCGTGGGTCAGTCACCGTTGTTGACCATCTGGAAGCGCTTTATTATAAACATGGACACAAATTCCATCAAGATTGCTGGTCAGTTGTATCTCAGGAACCTTCACAAGTGGATGTTGGCTGACTTATCCAGTCCGAGTCCGCCCATGGCACCCCATCAAAGAACAGCCCTTTGTCACCCAGATAACTCGGCAGAACATATTTCAAGGAGACGGTAATTTCGCTATTTCACCTCGAAAACCCATCACTGGCTCGCTGCGAGAGGTTGTCGGTATGTCCATTAGCTGTCTTCATGCCACCCAAGCTGACTCTCCAGAGGTCATTGACCACCGGGCGCTTGACTTTGACAAGCCTGAACTGGGATCAGAGACAAAGAGAGGGCAGCCAGGTGCTAAGCGTTACAAAGACAAGAGGTGAGTATGACGTACACTCTTCGGATGGTGAGAACTGAGGTCAGATATGTCTTTGACCATGTCTTGTCTATGGAGGCTTCTCAGGAGCATGTGTACGATAGAACAACCAGACCCCTGTTAGATGGAATTCTGGATGGATACAATGCCACGGTCTTCGCGTACGGGGTCAGTTGTGTTTTCTCGATTATATGTTGACTGAGCTGACACGTCAGGCTACAGGGTGCGGAAAGACTCATACGATCAGCGGGACCGCCGATGACCCCGGTATCATCATCCGTACCATGGAGGATTTATTCCAACGCATAAGTGATTCATGTGACGTCTTTGACACCGAGATTGAACTTTCCTTTGTCGAAATCTACAACGAAACCATCCGCGATCTTTTGTCTGAAGATTATCCAAAGACGCCCCGGGGTGGACTCCAACTGCTCGAAAACTCAAAAGAACGAGTCACGATCTCCGGGGTTACGCTGAAGCGGCCTACCTCTGTGGAAGAAGTCATGGAGTTGGTGCAAGTGGGTAATGGGCGACGGACCACGCATTATACGGAAAGCAATAGTGTCTCTTCCAGATCGCATGCTGTACTGCAAGTCAATGTGGGTCGCTTTAGCAAGACTCACGAAGTGGACCTAGAGTCTGGGACAGTCCGACAGCTGGCGGCCTCCGCGACACTGTCGATTATCGATCTTGCCGGGAGTGAAAGAGCTTCTGCTACCCGCAACATGGGAGCGAGGATGAAAGAAGGAGCTAATATCAACAAATCTCTTCTCGCCCTATCCTCGTGCATATCTTCTCTGTGTCAACGCCCAGTCTCCGGAGTCAAACCTCATATCCCTTATCGTAATTCCAAACTCACAAGATTGTTGAAATTCTCCCTCGGCGGCAACTGTAGGACGGTCATGGTGGTTTGCGTCTCCCCATCGAGTAAAGATATCGAGGATACATTCAATACTTTGACATGGGCGAATCAAGCCAAGAACGTGTCGACCAAGGTGACGAAGAACACAGCCGGTAACCGGGTCAATGTGGCCCAGTACTTGGTGGCGATAGCGGAGAAAGACAGTTTGATCAAATTGCTCCAGGCCAAATTACAAGAAGCAGATCGGATCCAGTTCAGTAATCCTAAATTGGAGGAGGAACTCAATAAAGCGAAGAGGGAGTTGGACCAGTTGCGACACGAAGCCGAGGCGGCTTTGCCTATGCTTTTAGCTGGTGCGCAGAAACGAGCGGAGTGGGATGGAGCCGAGTTACGCATCTCTGCTCTCAAAAGACGAATCGGGGAGGTCGAAAGCGAGCCTGGCACGTCTTCTGATGAAGTGGCACGGCAGAAAACCTTCTTGGAGACGTTGATGCGAGGCCAAGAGAGGTTGTATCGTTTCAATGCTGAGGTGCAGGCGACAGTGGAAAGGGAATCTACCCAGGATAGTGCATTGAAGACTGCGTTTGCGAGGATGGAAGGGAGGACATTCAACATGCCAGATTTGGGAGCTACGGAGAAGGATTATATCCGACTGAAAGTGGCATTGCAGCGTCAAGAGATCGCCGTAGGGGTGGCGGCAGCTCGTGAGAGAGGATACAGGGAAACGATATCACAACAAGCCGAAGCTTTGTCGAAAGCCGCTTGGGACTTGTCTCGTCTCAGAAGCGTATTGCAAGCTGAGTCAGATGCGTTGGGTGGTGTAATAAACGAAACTTCCGATTCTCAATTGCAAAACGTCATGAACCGTCTACAATCTTTGTTATCGATTTGTGATAAAAGCATCACATCCACATTTGACCAACCATTCGAAACTTCTCAATCTCTACCTCCTTTACCCAAAATTGACCCATCTCGACGTCTAAGTCAACCCAAACGTTCTACCGTCCCACCTTCACCTATATTACGTCGACACAAACCCGTTATATCAGTCTTGAAATCTCCTGCGAAATCTGTAAAATCGACTAAATCACCTCGGAAACCAGCCATAAGACCTAAATTATCACTCCCTCAAGTCAAACCGAAAAAAGGTTTACGATGGAAAGATCAAGCTGGTGAAGGTAGTTTGGAAGCTAGTAAGACTTTCCAAGTACCAAGTAGCTCGGATACCAGTGGAATTGATACTTCGATAGCTTCTGTCGATTCAGCTTGGGAAGATATTCCTCCTGTTTCTCCACAAAACATGAACTTCAACACGAAACCCAAACCTGCCATTCTTCCACCTCGTACCTCCCATCCTTCTCTTTTACCACCACCACCTTCCACCTCTCGATCATCGTCCGATTCAGGATTACCAGAATGGAAGAAGAACCGATTACTTTTAGGTAAATCTGCATTTGGTGGGATTGGTATAGGAGAATTATCGACCCTGAAAGAAGATGTAGAAGCTCCATCACCTTCGTCTATAGTTAATTCTTCACCTGAATCCAATACGATCTCTAAAATATCTCGTTTAGGTCCTCCTATTCGTCATTCTAAACCACTCGGAGAACTTCATCAAATACCATCTTCGAATCAACCTTCTACATCATCTCTTTTCCGTCCTACAGCAGCTTCAGCGGCAAAGATGAATTCGAATTTTTCATTACCTTCAACAGATGGAATGCCTAATAGACGTTCTTCACTATTACCAACTCTTTCAATCTCTTCAAACCTTAATACAAATCCTAATCCTAATTCTATCTCCATCCTCAATTCCAATTCCAATCCCAATTCCAATACCACTTCTACATCATCTGGTCCAATTCGAACAAGAAGAGAATCACTAGGTCCAACAAGACATGAAAGACATAAAACAAGAAATAGCGTATTACCTTATGCTCCCGGTTCAAACACTTCACTTTCTATTCCACCTTCAGGTATATCTTCTTTGTCAGCATTATCAGGTGGTGCACAACGTATACGACCTGATAATCTACCGAACAATCATGGAGGACAATCATTAAGACGTATGTCTTCTATGGGTACCATAGGAGTTGGTGTTGGGAATATACAACTAGGAAATGTTGGATTGAGTACATTACCAAGAGGACCTACACCTGAAAATCAAACTTTGAATAGTAAACCTAGTATTGGGAGATTGAACATTGCTAATGTTTCTTTTGCAGGATTAGCAGGAGGTGGAGATCGAGCTCCTTGGAGATGAGTCGATTGTTGAATCGTTCAATTGTTCAATTCTTCTCTTGTTATATCGTACATAATCTTCCTGTTGACTAGGTGAACTGGGAGGTACGTGGAGGGAGGCGGAATAACATTGAAGGTGATTATGAAAAGGGGGAAATCTTGTGATACTTGTATAGATGTATTGGTCAGAGTAAGGACATTTGAAGAAGTTAGTGGTTTTCCTCGGGTTGATATCTATATCGAAAACATGTATATAAATATCACACTTAATACCACGTTTATGTGTCTCTATGTCAAGTTGTGAAACACTGATGCATTTCTTGGATTATTCACATATCACTAAGCCCATGACCGAAGGAGTGAACCCCGATTAGTTTCGAGTATTACTCGTACAGTAGTTATGTATAATGATGATCGTCGGTCGAGATAGCGGAAAGTAGATGAAAGATGAGTGAATGTTAGAATCCTAGATATCAAGGGAATGATTTGGTCAAGAATAAGTAAAAGACGAATACATGTAGAGTATTACATGTTTCACATGATAATGTTTTCTATCGATGAATCAATGAGAGAAAAAAAGAAAATCTACAACGACTCTCTCTGTTGAAATTGTCCACATTAACCTACTTTCCCACTCTCTCGTCCATCTTATGGGCTGGCTCTGATCCATTTATCGTCCCACTAACGACTCCCACAATATAATTTCTCCAGGTCGATATACCATCTACCTCTTCGACATTCTCATTCACCTGACAATGATCATACCCCAGAACAAGTTGATATGAATTGGAGATATATCCCGAACAACAAATATATCACGAGAGCTTCATTGATATTTTATCTAACCATTTCATGGTGAAGTAAGACTTGTTAGCCTAGATGGAGTCGAGAAGTATACAAGACTGGATATTATCGTATTTAACATTCATCGATGATATGTGAAATAAGCGAGGTTGGTATGAAACGAGAAAGGCCCAGAAGATTATCGATCGTTGTGTAGACGACGAAAAACGTAATGACGATTGAGCCAGTACATCCCATTCGAAGTAGTTGTTGCAAGTTTTTGAAAGGTGATGAGTTGAAGTTTTTGGAGAGTGATGTGAAAAATAAGAGGAAGTAAAAGGTTGTTTATCGTTTATGGTGTAAAGTGTAAAGTGTAAATTCAAAACAAACGACCAATCACAATTGATCATATTCTTCCATCCCACTTCCCGTACCTAATTCTTCTTCTTCTCCTAATCCACTCGTATAACCCGATCCACCTGAAACTTCTCTTGATAACTTACCACCGATTAATCCGGCTCCACCTCCACCTGGTCCAGGTCCATGTCCCAGACCTGATAATTGAGCATGTTCAGCGACGGATATACCTTTGTAAGCTTTGTATTGTGATTCTGTCATTGGACTACCGTCAGGGTTGACGGGGAGGGGATGGGTGAGTGCGCATTCTTGACCTTGTTCGGATTTGTCTGAGTGATTAACGTGCATTTCTGAGATGAGAGGAGACGGTGGCACAGATGCAGAGAGGATAGAGAGAATCGGGAAAAGAGTAAGAAGGACGGAGAGGAAGAAGGATGAAGGTAGAAGATAGAAGGAAATCGGGGACAGAGGAGATGAGATAAAAGGTTTGACTCACGATGCCGTGTCAATGCGTCTAATCGAGCAAATTTCTTACCACAACCTTCACACTCAAACGGTCTCAAACCTTCATGAAGCAACATATGACGCTTGCAATCGTGTTGTCTGGCGAAACCGACTATTGCTGGTCAAGTCAGCTATGTACGATGGGTGTGAGACGAATAAAATATAATTTATAACCGCTTTGGCCATTGAGAGGGCCCTATGAGATGTCAAGAGAAGGAGAGAGGGATGGAAAGACCAGATCTGCGACTTGAAAGCATGAAAGTCTACAGACACGCAGGACATGACGAAATATGGGGCAAAATGAGGTGAAGACCATGGAAGGAGAGAACTGACACTTCGGACATCCATCGTATAAACATTTATAAGGTCTTTCATCATTATGAGACCGTAAATGACCTTTGAGGTTGAAATGTCTGGTGAAGGTTGATCCGCAGCCCGGGACTGCCAATCAGCTTCATCCAGTGAGAAGTATTCAGCCTGGAAGAGACACATAATCATGCCAAATCTATGCTCTTCCCAGATCTAAAATAAAGGAGCTCATAGATGACTCCAGGAGTGACCATTGACGTTTGGAAGGTGGAAGAGGAGGCAAGGGGAAAGGAACAAGGTGCAAGAGCAACAGAGAAAGAACCCACTTGGACACTTGAAAATCCCATCATTCGTTCTCCTACTCGTACTCGCCACCTCAGTAGCCACACTCGTCACCTTCATACGTGCCACTCGAAGTGATCTACCCGTAGGTAAATCAGGTACTTGTATAGGTCCCCCTAAACCCATCATTCCACCATGTAAATACCCATTATCCGGCATACCCATTCGTGGAGAATACCTACTTGATCCTTGCGAACTAACACTGGGAGCGGGCGAAACTGATCTGGCTGAAGATGCCGACGAGTGTCTAGAGCTTGAATGTGCTCTTCCTCTTGGTGGTAAAAGTGTCCCATCGATAGCAGTGATCGATTGTAAGAAATCTGATGTTGAAACTCCTGCTCCCATTCCCCAACCGGACCCAGCGATACCACGACCGAGATCTTCACTTTTAGCCCCACGACGATGACCGCTAGGCGATAAACCGCGTACTTTGCGAGGATCAAGATTAGCAAATGGGGTAGGATTTGACAGTTGGACACCGTAACCTGGTGTACCGACTCCCGCTGCGGGATGTGAGCCTTCAGCGAAAGATCGACGTCGACCAGAAAGAGCATTTGAAGGACCTGCAGAGAGGAACCTCGACTGTGTAGGATCGGCAGTATGAGGTAGTGGAGGTTGATTGGGGAAAGGGATGTTGTGAAATGAAGTAACATCATATGGAGCGGATACTGTACCTCCGAGTTGAGAGGCTGGAGCAGGATCGATACCGAGTTGTTGATAAAATGCAAGAGAAGTGGGTGACAGTCCCCCGGCACCTAATGGAGGTTTCCACCCTGGCAAAGCTGTGTTTAGTACCAAGCCCCCTTGACGATTCCGATTCGCTTGTGCTTGTAATTGAGACAATTGATGTGATTGCTGCAAATGTTGTAAAAATGCATCCGCATCGAATGGTTCTGCGTGACCTTGTTGCATATGATGATCCTGGCCGGGTAGATGACGAGGATCGAGGGTGGCTTGAGCAGGTTGAGGGTCAGGAGCAAGAGCTGAACGCCAAAGTTCGATATCTTTCCATTGTTCGACACTGAGTTGCTCATCCAAGCCGCCTTCCGCAGAAGGATCGAACATCTGCAACAACGCTTGTCGGTCAAAAGCACCACCGGCCGCCGCCATGGCTGAGTCTGATTTGGCCCGTTGTCGGAACGGCATCGAACGCAAGTTGTCACCTAGATTCATCTCACCAGGGAAAGGCATTTCGTGATGTTGTGGCATGGGGGACGCGTTGTTGTTCGCCCTGCCTGGTTCATTCGAAGGAGAGCGAGCTTGAGGGGGTGGGACCGAAAAAGTATGGTCACCTTGCTGCTGACCTTGTCCTTGTCCGGCATTTTGTTGTCGAGAGGACTGACCGTGTTGACCGAATCCTCCAGCACGACGTAAGGCGGCATCGAAAAGTCCACGACCATCTTTCAGTCCACTGATGGGCGTGCTAGGCTGTATATAGATCTGCGGGCCATCCGCGTTAGGTGCTATGGGACTAATACCCGCCATTCCAGTCAAATGTTCGAGTGCGGGGTTTACTGGAGGCGCCAAACCGCCTGCACCGGCTGAAGTGCCAAGAACGTTGTGCACTGTGGCGTGGTTTCCTTGCTGAGCCTGAGGCTGAGTGACGATGGGTGGGAGAGATGGAGACGGGCTGTGCTGTTGACCGGGAATGATGAGTGCTGGGGGAGAGTTTGGCTTGTTATAGAAGGACGAACCGGAGTTGGACTGTGGGAAACTAGGCGCGGGCGAAGGTGAATGCGTAGGTGGAACGAAAGGACTTGTTGAGCGTGAGCCGGATGAGTGAAAAGCAGAATCAGGAGTGAAAGATTGTCGATAATGATCTTGTAGTTGATATGCTTGTTGAACTTGTTCTTGCAAGTTATGAGAAGGTTCGAAAGGCGATGTTGGACGTGAATGGTGATCAGAGTTGCTGTGAGAATAAGCTATACGCTCGTCAATGGAAAGAAAGCGGGGTATAAGAATAAAGGGAGGGTGTCATCGCCGTGGGTCTGGGCCCGACTCGGACTTACATTCTATTCAATTCATCTTCCTCTTGCATGAGAATATTCTCTAACACGTCTCCTTGATCTCCTTGATTCTCTCCCGAGTACCCCTGGTCCCACACTTCGGATGGGGAAGGGGGTTGATTAGGATAAGATGATGCCTGAGAATACATGTAGTCATCTGATGGGCCAGAGTCGAACATTTGATAGCCATGGGGGACGCCTTCCTGGATGTCATGATCATAGGGTTCTTGAAACTGCTGTTGAAATTGAGCCCATTGACCGTACTGTCCCTGTTGAAGTGGTGGTGTAAAGGGAGTCTGAAGTTGTTGAGGTTGTTGTTCTTGTTGTTGATCTTCACGCCTAAACATTATGTCACCAATCGGTTGATATGCTTGACCGCTGCCATTGACCCGTATAGGAGGGGATTGTTTTGGGCCGCCCTTGGGGGCTGTCGCGATGAGAGTGCTGTCCGAGGTAGGGTCGAATGGAAGGGATTCTTGTCTGGTTGGATCGAGCAGGTTCAAACGAGTATTTGGTACTCCGCCGTTTGGCCGATGATTCTGATATGCTGGCCCTGCTTGGTTTTGCCCCTGGGCTTCTCCGAGGGGGTCGTTGACATTGATTCCCCTGACAAGATCGGTGACGCTCGCCGAACTACCCGCTCTTTGACGCCGAGATTCGTGATACTGTTGATGCAGTGATTGCAAGGAAGCGTTGCTACCCCGCCTCGGGATCGCTCCTGGCTCTTCGAACGAACCCTGTTCTCCCGGGGCGATGGGTCGACCGGGAGCCACGGCGTACTGAAGGAGGGAAGCTGAAGAGTCTTCGGAGGAGTGCCGTCCAGTGAACCCGTTTTCTTGTTGAGCGTAGAACTGAGCAAAGGTGGGTTCGGAAGGTACAGCCATGGTGAAGGAGTGAGATCGAGGACGGAATGAGGTTGACGGGAATGTGGGCAGGGGATCAATTGGATATTTTTCAAGTGTATGTGGGTATCCCGTGACTATCGGTATGAAGAGTGACGCGGTGTAGGTGCAGTGTATACCTATGAAGATCCTTTAATTGATCTCGTGGAAAGAAGTGAGGGTGGATGCGCGTTCGGAGGGGAAAGGCGATGGAGAAGAAAGTAGGGATTGTAGAGAAGCAGTGGGGATCAAGACAAGGGATGTGACAGGGGAGGACAATATGACCACGGCGATGGAAGGTTGAGAAGACCCTTTGTAATGAAGACCTTATGGCCGAGAAGGGGGTGATAGTGGTGGTGGTAGTAGTAGTAGTAGTAGTAGTAGAGTCAACAGAGAGAGACGACTACCAAGAGTAGACAAAGTTCAAAGGGAGGGAAAGACACTGCCACATTGGCCACCTTACCAGCTACTACTTTATGCGACACCCCCATTTAAGAACCCACCTATGCGGGGCTCCACTTTGCTATCTTCCCCTTGTCCCCCCAACTCCGCCCACACATTCATTTCATATCCTTGTTCCGTCACTCTCCTTCCCTCTCCTCACTTCACTACACCTACACCTATATATCTCTTTCTCACCCAATCAATACAACAACCACCATGACAGACCCAAAGTTCATCGCATACGTTGACCAACATAAGGATGACTTCGTTCAACGACTCGCAAAGGCCGTCGGCATTCCATCGTCAGTCACTCCTCTATTTCGTTTCCCTTTTAGCTTCTTACCTCCTACTTCTGCTATCCTTTACCCCACCAGAAAATACCTTGCATAGATCTACATATGCTGATCATGCTATAGCGTATCTGGCAACATCGAGTGAGTCTCCACATTCCTCTCTCGCTAAATCTCACCACCGCAGCTACAACAAAGACGTTTACGCCATGGCCGACTTTCTCGTAGACCAACTCAACAAGCTAGGATGTACTGCCGAAAAACGTGGAATCGGTAAACACACCCTCGCAGGGCAAGAAGTAGACTTGCCTCCTGTCGTGATCGGGCAAATCGGTAGCGACCCTAAGAAGGTCAGTTCGATCGTCCTCCTATTCCTTTTGGTACCCAACTCCGATGCGTGTCAGCGTATCATAGTCCTCACCCTTTTCACGGCTAACACATGTAGCGAACTGTGCTCATTTACGGTCATTATGACGTACAACCCGCGCTCAAAGAAGATGGGTGGATACATGACCCGTTCAAGTTGACCATCGATCCCGAGGGGACTGGCAAGATGTACGGTCGAGGGTCGACCGACGACAAGGGCCCAGTGATGGGGTGGTTGAATGTCCTGGAGGCACACAAGGCCTTGGGGTTGGAGCTTCCCGTAAGTTTGACTGGTAGATTCCGTATCTCCAGGATACAAGGACTAATGAGCAGGTCAACGTCAAAGTCATCTTTGAGGGTATGGAGGAGACGGGCAGTGTCGGCCTTCCGGAATTTATCGAGGCTGAGAAGGACAATTTTTTCACCGGTATCGACTGCATGTGCATCTCAGGTGAGTGTTTCTTATTTTAAATACACTCATTTCTTCGTCACAAACGCATGAGGGCCCCGAGCTACCATGCGCTGTATACTGACGGGCAGACAACTACTGGCTCGGTACTAAGATCCCCTGTCTGACCTACGGTACCCGAGGCGTCGCCTATTACGAAATACACGTCTCAGGTCCCGACCGTGACCTCCACTCTGGAGTATTTGGAGGAATGATCAACGAACCCATGACGGATCTTATTCACTTGAGTGGGTGATGTGTCACCGCTTGATCCCTGCTGATTGGAAAGTGTCCAAACTGGTCACTCCTCAAGCTGAAATCCTGGTTCCTGGTATCAAAGAAATGATTGCACCTGTGACCGAGGACGAACGAGCCAAGTTCGAAGCCATCCATTTCGACATGAAGGATGTGCATGATTCCATGGGTGGAGATGTGACTTTGTCGGATGACAAGGTGGAAGTTGTGGGTAGTCACCTTGACCCTAGAGGCGAAGCTGATGATATAGTTGATGGGTCGTATGCGTAACCCTTGTTTGTCGCTACATGGAATTGAAGGAGCTTTCTGTAGGTTTCTCGACTCTGAAGCCATTCATGTCTGATGAATAGATGCGACCGGATCAAAGACCGTTATCCCTTGTTCGGTTAAAGGTTGGTTCGGTTTCTTCCGCTTCTTCCGAGCAACAGTAAGCTGATCATGTAGGAAAATTCTCCATCCGTCTTGTGCCCAACCTGTGGGTGAAAGAGACCACAGAATGCGTCGTCAAATATGTCGACGCAGAGTTTAAGAAACTTGGAACGAAGAACAAGTGTGAAGTGAGATTGACGCATGGTGGGGAGCCTTGGGCTGTGAGTCAACACATCGCTTCTAACCTTCAGCTCTCGTTTCCCTCTTCTTAAACTCAAGATCCCTATGAACCTTCTTCCTTCATCTTGACTCTTTCCACCATCTTTGCATACCTATGGGTGATTATACATCTCTGTCTGAGCAAGCAAAGCGGACAATTAGTGTTGTCAAGACCAGACCTGAGCTGACCTATAGACTGATCCCAACGTACGTCTCAGGTTTTCACCTTGATGATTGCCAAAACTAACAACGTAGCATTACTCTTATCGTGCCGCACAAAAAGCTACCGAGACGGTATACGGTCAAACACCCGATTACACTCGTGAAGGAGGTCAGTTGACCCTCTTCTGCCAAATGAGGTAAAGCTGAACAAAAACAGGCTCAATCCCTATCACTGCGGACTTTGCCAATATCCTAGGTCTCAACGTTCTTTTACTTCCTGTTGGAAGAGGTGATGATGGTGCTCATTCCACTAATGAGAAATTGGACATGGATAATTATATCAATGTGAGTGGTCGTTTTGATTACCCCCGTCACCTTTTCTACCTCGATCAATCAGCGGATCCACAATCGGATCAACCCATTTATTCTCATGATCATATAGAGTACCTTTCATTTCTCTTCTCCCTTCTTATTACCTGTCTCAATCTTCATACCTTACTTGCACACTTACAAAACTTCCCGTGAGGAGGATCCCTCTGTGACACATTGCCATTTAAGCCAATCAAGTATCTGCATCATCTTTACGCATGTTGGAACATGAAACAAAACCAAATATACAAAGTTCAATGCTGATCAATAGGGTACAAAACTACTCGGATCGTATTTGTACGAACTTGCCAATGCTCAGTAATTTCTTTTCGGAATCAGTCCATCTGATTGATAATGCATCAACGCTTTGAGTATATCATGTGATCATGCCATCTAGTCGTATTCTACAGATACAAAATCCAAAATTTGAAAATTTCCCCAAGAGATCCATAAAAGCCACACAATCATCTTTTTCTACAAATTTGGATCTTTTCAACCAAAGGACACACGGTCAATTCGAAATATTTCTTATCGAATGTAAATCTATTGAAATTACATACCTGCTAAATCGAGTGCACTTATATCTTGCGATTCAATCACCTTGATCTTTGCAACTTCATTTGCATCCTCTCCATCTAGTTCTGGATCACTGTCTGCTTCTCCTTCTATTTCTGGTTCTAGTCCTTCATCCTCACCTCCAGGTGTATCAACCTTATTCAAGTCGACATCTCTCATTTTCTTCGTATTATCAAATTCTATATCCTCCATTTTGATATGAGAATTTTGCTCCTCTTCCACCTCATTGACAATATCAGAAGTAGACATCTCCCCTTGCTCCACCTCTTGGACAAGATCAGAAGAAGAAAGTTCCTCCTCATCCACCTCATGGATAAAATCAGGATCAAAAATATCCTCCGCTATCTCATCCAATTCCTCATTCAAGTCAGAAGAAGAAATTTCCATCCCTTCTTCACTTGAAGATAATTCATCTGAAGAATTAGATGAAAAAACATTATTCGAATCATCATTCTGTTGAATATGTCGCATATCAGATTGTTCGGGATGCTCATTTTCACTCGATGTGGTTTTTGATAAGATACTCGAAGTTCGTGTGATGATACGTGTTATTGGATATATTTGATCTGGGATGAGAATTGGTGCGACTTCTTGTGAAACTTGATCTGCTTCTTGTACGTTCGTTGGTGGTTCGACTTTATCGTGTGAACCTTGACCATCTACCATGTTATCTGTGTGGACAATATCTTCGTCAGGGTTGACCGACGAGGAGGTTGAATCGTAAGTGTGAGTGTGAGTGTGAGTCTTTGGTCGAGTCAGGGGTGAGGTCATATCGAGATCCGAAATAATCTTCGGGTTTGACTCTTCCTCTCCTCGCACTGACATCGGTATGGGACCTTCTATCTGTAAATGGCTGACATCCTTCGAATCTTCCTTCGAGGTGTATTCCTGGGTTGATTCCGCCTTCGGGCTCGATGTTACGGTCAAAGGTTCGATAGAGTGGACGATTGCAGTAGCGGCAGCTAAAAGACTTGGCATCCCTTCTACTGAATCAGTTTCAGTTTCAGGTACTGCCATTTTATGCTCTTGTCCTGTTGACGGGTGTGACGAGGGTATTCGGGAGGAGTTTTGGGGTGGAAGGGTTTGAGATTGAAGATGAGAGTTTCTTCGAGTCTCGATGCCATCCAATTGACTGAGATCTATAGATTCTTCGTGAGAAGTGGTACGACTCAAATTTTGAAATTGATGGCGATTCGACGTTGAAGGATCGTGTTGCATCTGCCCCGTTTCGGGTGTATGAATATTGTCCACCCCCATTCTTCTTGAACTAACCCGGCTCAGATTTGGTCCGACGGAAGTGTTCATAGTTTGATGTGTAGATGTGGATGAAGTCGGTGGAGTCGGTTGAATAATCGGTGAGGAAGTCAAAGAAGGGGACATGGTCGTTGAAGGAGGAACAACAGGAGATGTAGGAGGAGGAAGGGAAGGGAAAATCAATTTCATACTTGGATGTCGTCTACTCGATAGTGGATGAGGAAATGGAACACCTCTTATCACCAGAGATGGGCTTGATGATGGGGGTGAAGAGACATTAGGTGAAGGACTTGAAAGTTGAGATTGACGCTCTCGAAATTTTACGCCATCTTTGTTAATTTGAACCACGTTGGAAGGTTGACGTTCTCGTGAAATGATCTGAGGAGGAGACATGAGTTGACGATCTCGGGTCGTGTTTGAAGTAGGTTGTCGAGAGATCGGAATAGAGTATTGTTTATCTCTTGGATTGGGTGAAGGTAGACCAGATGGTCGATCTGTAAAATCTCGCATATCTTGAGGCGAATTGAAAGTCTCACGATTGATCAATTGACTTGATGGAGGTGTGTATGATGATTTCTCACGGATTTTCACAGGGGAAGAAAGTGTGTTCGTACGACTTAATGGCGCACCTCGTTCTTTTTGCGGGGACAGAGGTTTGGTTATGGTTTGAGTTGATTGAGATTGAGGGGATTGTGGAAGTTCAGGAGGGTGAGCAGATGAGGTAAGTTGGGAGAGAGTGGAGGGACCAGGTGAACTTGATAGAAAAGATGATGTAGATGGGAGAAGAGGTGAAATTGGCCAAGGCCAAAGCCAGAGAGGATAAGGAGGAGGAGGAAGAAGGAAGGGATTGTCTGAATTACCGAAATTGTTGATGAATGTTTCTAATGGTAAATCTGATAAGGAAGGTTCGTATCTATTATCAGCGGATCCCAATGATCACAACCAGTCAAGTCTACTCTTTGAGAATGATTTTGCGAGATAGTACTATGATCACCAAATTCGTTTTTTGACATGGCGACCATAATAACACTGATATCATATGATGCATATCAACGAGAAGTCGAGCTAGAGGAAAGGAGTGAGAATGTAAATCACAGGCAGCAGGTATAATCTTTAAAGAAGATGGCATAAACTCACCTCTCCATCTCTGAAAGTATACCCTCCATTGCCCATCCTTGCAACTTGCGTAAACAACCCACCACTGGTGTTGTATGTGAAACCCCATCCACATCAGCTAAATAGAGAGGATACATCTTTGTGTCCAACACGACCTTCAAAACATCTTCCACTTCTTTTTTCCCTATTCCTAAACGTTCCTCACCTGCCTGTTCCGCTTTGATCCATATGACCACCACTCCATTCCGTTTGGACCAAAGGGAACATTCATGTTGTTCCTTGAGTGGTTTTTCACGAAGCACCAGGAGAGTTTTGATCTTGAGTCGGTTCAAGAATCTAAAGTTTCGTCTGACAGGGATAGAGCCTCGATAGAGGATCTGGCTGTTTGAGCTTGATGAGGTTGAGAGAGGGCTTGAGTTGGGCGATGTGGAGATAGAAGAGGAACGGGAAGTGGAAGAGGATGGAAGTGGCGGAGCTGGGAGAAGGGTTGGAGGAGGTAGAGCTACTATGGAGAAATGAAAAGGTGGAGTCAGCATGGGTGATAGACATGTGACATGGGATGGGATGAGAGCTTAAAAAGATCATGAGTAGTACATAATTACAAGGTAAGTAACGTGGGGGAGGAAGCAAAAAAGATGGTTCAAAAGTGGATGTAAACTTTAAGTACTTACCCCCTCAACATCCACCACTTGACATCTATACCCCATACTTACACCCTTGCATCTCTATCTCTCTATCGTGTCTTTTATAATCTCCAATAGGTCAACGATTATCATCTATTCACTCCTTCAAACACCTCAATTCACCCTTTCGAAATCAACATGTGTGAATTACCCGAAAAAACCCAACTTTCTTGATAAATACTCTCACTGAATATTGATTCTCTTTCACACCAACTACCTGCCCCTAGCCCCATCCATACGACTCAACATGCCTAAACCTACCTTCCTCCAAACAGTCCTTCGAAAACCAACTCGATCATATGCTACACCAGGATACAACCCCTGGGCAGACCAAGAGGATGAATACGATCCCGAACCTTTCCCTTCCCGATACAATCCTCGTGTAGACAATGGAGTCTTCTTAGGTTATCGAGATACCTCACAACCTGGTTCTTCTCATTTACCCTCTCCTGCGTCTTCTTCTTTCGTAAGGAACAGGAAAACATCTCGATCAACCATAAGTGAACCTGTCACTGAGGTAGGGACAGATCGAACGGCTGGAACACGTTTTCCAAAACCTGTCAAAAGGGTACAAGAACATCTCACTCTCACACCACAAGGAGAGATCATCTTGACTCCTTTACAAAGAGATGTATCCTCGATCAATGACGGAACGGTTAAGAAGAAAAAGAAGAGAAAACCTAGGATAGAATCAGAAGCTCAATCGGTAATTTCGAATACTATGAGAACCAATTCACCTGCTCCGACGATCATGACTATCAAACATACCGCTACTAGGGTTGAAAAAAGGAAACAAGAGATAAATCAACAATCTGTCATGAATGTTTGGAATGAATCGTTGAGTACAGAAAACACTGGGAGTCTTGTTTTACATCAGCAAAGATTAAGGGATGCAGGTGAAAGTTCAAGTAGTTTGTCTTCCCCAGTCCCACCTTTTTCTCCTGCACCTCGTCAAACTCCCACACCGGATGATCTCCCTCCTAGGTCTTCAAGCTTGGATAAAGATAAGAGTGTAGATACACCACCAAGTTCTGTCTCTTCTCTCCCTGCTAAACCCAACCAAGAGCTCCATCCTTCTCCGCCTGAATCTTATCGACAACCTCAAGGATTTTCTGAAATCAAGACAAGTCGTCCAAAACCTATCGTCGTTATTCCACCCGTGGAATCCGATACGGAAGAAGAAGAAACCTTTTACACTCCTAGAGCTTCTTTGGATCAACGACCCATGTCATTTTTTCAACCTTCCACTTCTGCAAGATTCTCCACCCTTTCGTCAGTACAAGAGTCTACTCCTATCCCGGCTTCAATGATACCACCTCCTTCTTTCAGTCTTCAACCACCTACTCCAGCACCTTTAGTCAATCCTGAGACTTCCCCATTTGAATTACCATCCGCCCGATTCGGAGATCCTGAACCAGTCGACACTCCCACTCGTTCTAGACCAATAACAACAACTGTCGAAATGCCCGCCTCACCACCAGCGGACGGTATGGCCGATGACGCACATTCAGCATCTGGTGAGATAGGCTCAGACGAAGATGAAGAATCTGAACGTCTCGGTGGACCCAATCAGCACCTTAGAGGTTCTCACAGTCGAAACACTAGCTATTCTCGGAGATCGTCTTCCGCTCTTGATTCCCATCCTGCCTCTGTAGGTTTCCCAGCTTCCGCATCAGAAGGTCGGACGTCTAAACGCTCTTCCAAAGCATATAGCGATTTCGTAGTCATCCCTCGACGTTTCTCTGCTCCCTTGGACGATCAGTCGTATCAAGCGTCAGCTTATGAACCAAGTATTCGCAGTGCTCAAAGCGGTAGAAGTGTCGCCAGTGGACTTGGGAAAGGTGGTTGGGCTGCCGCACAAGCTTCAGCGCAATCGAGATCCGGGGCGACTACACCGGTCATGTACATGCCTTCTCATGCGAATGGAGGATGGGGAAATCTTCAAGAATTACAAGGTGGAAGTGCACCTGTTCCTCCTCCCAAAAAAAGTAAATTCACTCCTTTGCCCGTTGGTGCTTTACCAGCGACTTTCGATCGTCTGACTAATGGATCGAGACTTGGGAATGGGAGTCAAAGCTTGGGTGAAAGTCAAGATGGTGGGTTGAGGGTGGCAAGTCGTAGTGGATCGAGTTTGAGTGAATACTCGCAAGTGTCATATCATCCCGAGATCAGGCCTAGTCGATCTTATACTATCGATCAAGTTCAATCTGACCAGCGGCCCTCTTTCGATGGTGTCACTTTAGAACGACCCTTGGAAGATGATCTCGTGGAAGACCCTTCGGACAGTGAAGAAGAGTACGACCAACTGCCTAGACCCAGTAGGTCTTACATCGTTTCAATTGTTTCCGAGGATCATCAAATCGACCCCCTCGCTCCCACTCGACGTGTCCAGTCTCCGGATTCCATCCCAGAGGACGCTTATTTGCCTGCTCCACCATCCCCAACATCCAAACCTTTGTCTATCTCCGAACATATCCCTCGACGATCGTCATCCTCTGCGGAAAGTCGACGAGAATCATTCAATAGTGTTCCATTTCCTTCACGTCGACCTTCTTCTTCTCTCGATCGACCTTCCCGTCCTCTTTCTCCACTCTCACCTACCATGCTACCCATATCCCGTCCAATGTCCTCAATGTCAATTTCCACCCGTGCTCAAAGTCCCACGCCAAGTCAAAGAATAGGATTCGAACCTCCCTCATTCCTCGACCCTGACGCTCTCACCCTCTTACCTGAAATGACGATACAAGATTCTGATAAAACGTACGAACCTTCCTTCCCTCGACCAATCTCCCGAACCGCTCGTCGGACCCAAAGTGTATTCGGAAATCTCACCCTCGGAGCACGTTCCTCGGCCGATGATTCTGAAGAAGCTGATCAAGTACCCGAATTACCAGTTCGACGTTCGAAATCCGTCAATGCTTTTCGTATGGGAACATGGGAAGGTTCAAATCACGGTGAATCCGTCTTGATGAATTCACATGGAAGAGATATGGAACCATTAGGATATTCATCACTCATATTACCTTCAGGTGCTTATAAACCATCTGATCCTTCACGTTTCATTCATTCTATAGATTATCGTTCACTTCGAATGCCACAATCGACAATGGCAGCTATAACATTATCAACACTTCCAATTCATTCTACACCTTTACATCTCAGAAATCAACTTCCACCTCCAATAGATTTCAGTTCTCATTTAAAACCACCTACAAAAGTCAATTCAGGTCAAATACTAGTACAAGTTTACGCTGTGGCAATTGATGAATTTGACGTAAAGATTTTAGAATCAAAATCAAGGAATGATATAGGTCGTTGGGTACCTGGAAGAAGTTTTGTTGGACGTTGTTTGAAAACAAGTTCAGAAGAAGTTGAAATAGTTAGAGGAGAATTAATAATGGGTTTAATGGATTTAAAGAAAAGTGGTTGTTTAACTGAATATATCTTAATTGATAGAAGAAGAATATCAAAAACACCTTTTCCAACTTTTTTATCTTTAGAACAATTAGCTTTATTACCTTTACATGGTATACCCGCTATAAGGATAAGTAGGACACATTTGATAAAACATTCTTTAGCTATCGTTTCAGAAGCTCATAGAGGTATAGGAGCTTTGGTTTGTCAATTATTGGCTAGATCCGGTGTAGCTGTTACGGCTACTATAGTAGGTGGTGATGGACATTATGAAGCTCAAATGAAATGTATGAAGAATGGTGCTAGGGGTGTTTTAACGGGTAGTTTGGCAAGTGTTTTAAGTGGGTTTGAAGAAAGTAGTTGGGATTTTATTTTTGATTCAACGGGTGGATTAGGTGTGGAAGGTGCTAAAAGGGTTTTGAGAGATGGTGGAAGGTGAGTAATTATCAATATTCTACAACCACCCTCCCTCTCCCTCTTCCTTAAAATTCAAATAATCATCTCTCCATCATCCCTGTTCTCCATCATCCCTGTTCTCCATCATCCCTGTTCTCCATCACCAGTTTCTCCATCACCCTCTCGTCATCAACGTCTTTTCTCCGATCATCTTTCCATTTCAGTCCAAGACCCTCATCGTTTTTGTATACATCCAACCTTCCTCACTTGTATAAACCCTATACACTACGATGATTAAATCCACAAAGATTTCATGTCGGATAAACCGTTAATCAGGTCAAAAATTGATGTTACAGCTTCGCATCCATATCATCACCATTTCCTTCACCTACATCCCCTCCCCCAATCCCAAGAAGAACATCAGCATTCAAATCCCTCTTCACCAAAAGAAAAGATTCAAAATATATAAACCTCCTCCCTGTATCTCCAGCGGGAACAGGTGAACCCGAAGTCGATTCTAGCGGAATGGACATACGGGACGTTTTGGAAGATGAGTTGATCCCTTTTTTGAGTCCTGTTTCAGAGGGAAGTGTGGTTTTTGAGAAAGCCAGGGAAGTGTTTAGGTCTCCAGGAAGTGGGATGGTAGTTAGGATTATCAATTAGGGTGAAAGGTATTTCTCGCAATTATTCAAGTCTCAGAAATTCAGACACTCACACCAATACACATCTGGACTCCGGACGATTGTAAGATCAGACGATCAGACGGTCAGTCGATCGAGTGCTCAAATTCTCAGATATCAGCTGCTCAGACGTAATCTGCTCAGAAGGGGAAACATCGAGCAGCAGAGGAAGATATCGGGGTGATCAGTCGTGTCTGTGTGAAGGGTGGAGGAATGAATTGTGGTCGAGGTTTAGGATGAGAGCGTTTTGGGTTTTGGAAATGAGGGATATCTGTTTTATTTTTTGGTGTATCAACGGACATTGTGGAGGTTACGAGTACACGAGTTGAAAAAAGTTGTAGCGATAACAAAATGTGGGAAATGTCAAATATTCATTCATCTTGTTATGTATCTTATTTTGATCATCTATTCATTTCTTTCATTCATCTCAAAAAGCCGTCATTATCTTTCTTCGTGATCTCTAATTCTCTTCTTCAGGTCATACATACTTTACAGTAACATACTCTCCACATAGTAGTACAACTGAATATCGTACAACATGTCGTTGCCCGTCAGTTTTACAACTCGACTCTACATAGAGATAGAAATCATACTCCCAAATTAGTCCCAAAAGTCCCATAACCCCTTGTTTCATCCTCCCTATTAGAAGAAGAAGAACCTCTCAAACCAGATAAAAACCTGGCACTTTTCCGTCTTACCAATTCCCTCACTTGACTAATCTGTCCAATCTGACCAATCTGACCAATCTGGCTGATATGCTCTATACCAGCTTCTAAACTATCTAAAGCTTGTAGCGAGAGAGAAGAAGGTAATATACTTCTGGGAGAAGGAAGAGGTGGCATATCGATTATACTACTTGAACTTGCACTGTCTTCGTCTTCGTCTTCGTCTTCTTCATCGAAAGATGTGTCGGTGTTTGGTTCGTTTGTATCGTCGAGAGCGTCAAAGTGGGGGTCGTCCGGAAAGATTTGTAAATCATGATGATTCAAGCCGGGGTTTGCGTCGTGATGATTTGTGGTGACTTGTGCGTCGGAATGATTTGTGGTGACTTGTGCATCGGAATGGTCTGTGCTGAAACGGTGAGAGGGGGATAGAGGGGAGTATGTGGCAGAGGTGCAAGAATGGACAGCAGGAGAAAATTCGATATTTGAAGTAAAGGATTGAGATTGGGAAGTAGCAGCTTGATCATGATCAGAGATCCCGATACTCTGAGACATAAATGGGGAATCGGGAGTTCGAGAGGTCCGAAGTGCAGAAGGGGAGTATGAGGCAGAAGTGGATGGAAGGGCAGCAGGAGAAAAATCGATATTTGAAGTAAAGGATTGAGATTGGGAAGTAGCAGCTTGATCATGATCAGAGATCCCGATAGTCTGAGACATAAATGGGGAATCGGGAGTTCGAGAGGTCCGAAGTGCAGAAGGAGAGTATGAGGAGGAAGAACGATGTCTTCTGTGAGTTGACATGGGGTCACGCGGTGAGGTGTACGGGGGGACCTGGGTCTGCTGGGTTTGAGGGATACTTGCCAGACGAGGAGAGAATGGGTGGGAGTGATGAATAGGGGAGAGTCGAAGGAAAAGGAGAAAAAGTAGCTGTGTATCAGCTTGACGTGACATTCTCTTCGGACACAATGGCGGGAAAAGTGTGGGTTTTTAGGACAATGAAGGGTGGGGGATGTATGGTGTCTGTGTTCGATTTCGAAGAGTAAGAGATGGTAAAGTATAGGAAGAGAGGTCGAGGACTTGGTGGAATGTCGAACACATACGTATTCTACTAAGGATATTAGGGCAGTCTGGAATTAGCACTGCTCTGATCATATGAACATCCCTAGTCTAATTCTTATTCCCAAAAATGAATACAACGTCTTACTCGTGCTCAACAGCGGCGACAATAATCCAAGGATTTCTATGGAGTTCTCCATTCATAAATGAGTTTTCTTTGCGCACCAGTACATTGTACAGTGTTAATTCGGTCCAGATGAGAAGTTCAGGTAAAGAATGAAGAAGTTCAGGTGAAGAATAGAAGGATGGGTAATAAATGATATCAAGCTTTGACTCACAAGAATAAGAAACACTCCTTGAGGAGAGAAAACCACGACATTTTCTTTTCTCTCTCCTCCAGATCGACCAGATTGTAATCGTCCGACACATCCTTCCCATACGACTCTCCCTACACTTATCCCACTTATCAACCCCACCCAACTACCCCGAAACCTCCATCGTTTACTTGTGCCCACTGTGACAAAGTACGGCTGTTCGCGTGATGCTGAGAAAAAGGAGGAACCATGGTTTTTCTGAAGCTGAGAAAACGTATAAAGATGTGTAGAGGAGGTCGAGTATGGCTAGGATAGGTATTGGAAGAGGATAACGAAGATGTGGTTGGGTTTGAGTTCGGATTTGAGGATTGTTGATGAGCACGGTAGAGGGTGATGGAGAGTGGTGTGACATATCGCGAGAGAAGTTGATTCTCATCAATGACTGTT